TATTGAACAGGAATGGTGATAGTGGGCATCCTTGTCTTGTTCCTGATTTTAGTGTGAAAATTTTCAGTTTTTGACCATTTAGTATGATGTTGGCTGTTGGTTTTTCATAGCCTTAATCAGGTTGAGATAAAGACCTTCTGTTCCAATTTTCTGTAGGGTTTTTATCATGAATGGGTGTTGGATTTTGTCAAATGCTTTTTCTGCATCTATTGAGATGATCATATGTTTTGTGTCCTTGACTCTGTTAATATAGTGTATTACATTGATTGATTTGTGTATATTGAACCATCCTTGCATCCCTGGGATGAATCCCACTTGGTCAGGGTGTATGATCTTCTTGATGATCCTCTGCATTCTGTTTGCCAGTATCTTGTTGAGGATTTTTGCATCTATGTTCACTAGGGAGATTGGCCTGTAGTTCTCTTTTTGGGTTGGGTGTTTTCCCCATCAGAGCACTTTTGCATTGTATCGCTCCACCCAGGGCTGGTGCCTGCCTCCTTGGACAGCACCACTCCAGATAAACTGTTTCACTCTTTCTCTCTCACTGTGATTTTTCTGGAGTTTATTGTTTTTCTTTTGTCCTGGGAAGCTTTGTGGTTTCCATTATCCCCGGGCTGCAGAAAGAAGAGCAAGAGGCTGTGGAGAAACGCGGCTGCCAGGTGCTGACGGCACTGAAAAAGCTGAGCAAGGACAACGAGGTGAGCGAGGGTTTCCCTGGGGATCCTAGGATTGCACCTTCTGTGCCTGGGTTGGGGCCCAGCTCAGCCAGGATGAGTAGAAGGGAAGGGAGGAAGTAGAAGAGTGCGGACTTACACTGCCAGAGCGGTGACATGGGACAGGCGGCGCCTGACTCCAGGGAGAGTCTTAGACACCCATCTTGTTCTCACCCCTGTCCGCAGGCTTGGAACCTCCCCAAGGCCCAGCCACCTGTCATTGCTGTTCTGGGCTCTGGCGGGGGGCTGCGGGCCCACATCGCCTGCCTCGGGGTCCTGAGTGAGCTGAAAACTCTTGGCCTGCTGGATGCTGTCACCTACCTCTCAGGGGTCTCGGGGTCCACTTGGTAAGTGTTCATTTCGGGATAGGAGGTGGTTTCTGACATCTCAATGAGAGGTTTTTTCCTCTCCATGCCAAATTCATGCTCTTTTCTTTTTCCTCTCTCTTCTTTCCCTTCCTCCCACCCTCCCTCCTTCTCTCCTTCCCTTCCTTTATTTCTTCCTTCCTTCCTTCCCTAGGGATTGATCCTTTGCACTGAGCTACATCCCCAGCCCTTTTCTTTCTTTTTTTTTATTTTGAGAAAGGTCTTGGTAAATCATTAAGTTGCCCAGACTGGACTCAAACTTTAGATAGTTCCTCAGTCTCCCAGAATACTGGGGTTACACGTGTGCATCACCCTGCCTGGTTTCTTTCTCAATTAAAAGCTAATTGTGCATCTAATTGTAAATCCGTGTGATGTTTCATCACATGTATACATCATGTATGGACCACTCCAGATACTTACATTGTCCAACATCTCAAACTTTTATCATTTCTTTGTGACAAGAGCACTCAAAAATATCCTCACCTACATATTTTGAATTATATGGTACAATACTGTAAATTATACTCATTGTCTGTGTGATAGAACACCAGAAATTATTCCTTCTATCTGGCTGTGACTTTGTACCTGTTAATGAACTTCTCCCCTCACCCCATCTTCCCATTTCTCTACCTCTCTGTGTTCTGGTAACCAGGACTCTGCTGTCCTTTTCTTTTTTCCTGGCAGAGCTGGAGATTGAACTCACACTGAGTTACATCAAAAATATTATTTGGGTTTCAGGAGTCATTTCTTCTACCTTGCTCTTGGAGTTTTATGTGTAGACTTACTCACTTTCAGTAAATTAATTATCCACTTCCCCTGTTTGTCATCTACTCCTAGAGGGAGGCAGTTGGGGTTGGAGACGATCTGGCCCACATCCCACCATCCAGCCTCTACTGTCTATGCTTCCAATACTCCACTCATCCCTGTTCCTCTGCCTGCAGGGCTCTGTCTTCCTTTTACACCAAGGACGGGAACACAGAAGATATTGAGGCTGAGCTGAAGCATCGATTTGACCAAAAGGAGTGGGACTTCAAGCACAGCCTAGAGAAAACCGTCGAGGCAGGGAAGTTGGAGAATTACTCTCTGACGGATTTTTGGGCCTACATTGTTGTCTCCAAGCAAACCAGGGAAGTAAGTCCCCCTCAGCTGAGGCCTGAGTCTCTAGGTTGGAAGTTACCAGAGATCTGTACCAACCTCTCCGTTATAAAGTCTCAAGATTTTCTTCTTAGAGTCAGGGTCTCAGTAGTTCAGGCTGGCCTTGGAATCACTATGTAGCCCAAGTTTCCCAGTGATCCTCCTGCCTCAGCCTTCTAAACGCTGGGATTACAGGCATGCGCCACCACACATCCCGTTTAAGATTTTCAGGTCTTTCAAACCTGGACGCTTAGATTTCTCCTCACGACTAAAACTAATCTGGGTTTCTTTGAGTGTAAGTAAAAGAATCAGATTCTGATTGGTTTATGCAAAATCATAAAGTAATATGACTTACTGGAAAGATACAAGAGTCCTCGAGGCAGCGCTTCTCTCCGCCTTTCCTTGATTTCTTGATGCTGATTATTTGTTTTCTTTGAGACAGTGTCTTGCTGTATCTAGTCCAGGCTAGGCTTGAACTCTTTACGTTGCCCAGTCAGGCCTTGAACTCACAATCCTCCTTGCCTCAGCCTCCCAAACGGTGAGATAACAGGTGTGTACCAGCACATTCAGCTTTAATTTCTTGAATTTACTTCTCTCTGCACTTCCCTCCCTCCTCCCCTTCCTCCCTCCTTCCCTCCTCTTCTTCCCACCTCCTCTTCCCCTTCTCCTCCTTCTCTTCCTCCTCCTCCTTTTTCTCCCCTACCCTCTCATCTGTCTCTTTCGTGATACTGGGCATTGAACCCAGCCAGAGTCTTCATACTGAGCTACGTCCCTAGCCCTTTTTATTTATTTATTTTATTTTGATACAGGGTCTTGCTAAGTTGCTAGGTTGCCCCAGTTGGGCTTGAACTTGCGATCCTCCTGCCTCAACCTCCTGGTACTGGGATTATAAGCGTGTGTGCCACTGGGCCAAGTTTTTTCCCCTTTCCTTTCTTTCTCTTTCCTCTCTTCTCTTGCTTCCTCTTCTCTTTTCTTTTTGGAGACAGGGTCTTGCTGCCTGGTCTGGGCTTGTCTCCCACTCGCAGTCCTGCCTCAGCAGAGGCTGGGATTCCAGCGGCGGACCTCCAGCTCCTCGGTGCACTTTCATTCCGTTCTTCTTCCCTTGGGCAGACTGGATGTTTTGGCTTCTTCAGGCGCTTAGGGAAAATGCTTTCCCCAGCCCCAGAGCATTCTTGTGTTCACCCCGAGAGCCTTGGACCAGCTGACCCTGGGATCCAGTCCCAAATTACTTGAAAGCATCACCTGGTCTGCTCAGTTCAGGGGAGAGGCCACCCAGATCCAAGCATCTGTGGCCATCAGGGTGACCTTGGCATGGGCTGCACAGGAGGATCAGGATGATTCTGAGGTGGGAACCTGAAAGCAGTTCTCCCAGTGATTCCTTCTATTTTTAATTCTTGGTTTGGGTCTAGAAGTTGTCCTATTCATAGAAATTAGGAGCAGAGGGTCATAGAAAACTATGGGGTGGGGACAAGGGAAGAGAAGGAAAGTGAAATGATTAATGATGACAGACTAATACAGACTGTGTGGCCTAGGGGAACAGGTGTTGTTTAGGAATGACAGTGTGGATCAGGTACCTGTGGGTGGCTGGAACATGGAGGATGAACCTGGAGGTAGAATATTCTCTCTCTCTGCTCTATTTGAGTGTGTGTGTGTGTGTGTGTGTGTGTGTGTGTGTGTAGGTGGGTGGCAAGAGCACTTAACATGAGATCTAGCCCCTTAAATTCTGTGTCTGCTTATTTCACTTAATACATAGAGCTTCAGCTATGCACGATAACTAGGCTCTAGAGACTTGCTCTACAGCATAGTCCCTATAGTTAGCAGTATGGTATTGTACCTTTTGAAATATGTTAGCAGGTAGAATATTCTTTTTCTTTTGAGCCAGGGTCTCACTATCTAGTAAAGCCTGGCCTTGAACTCCCTATGTAGCTCAGGTTTGCCTCAAACTCACAGTGATCCTTCTGCCTAAGCTTCCTTAGTGCTGGGATTAAAGGCATGCACCACCACACCTGGCAACAGGTAGAATATTCTTAACCCAGTGTGAGTTTTAGAATTTTTAGACACAAGCCCTGCATTCCTCTTCTGTTGGTGGCTATTGTTCACGCAGATTTACACAACATAGGGAATATTTGGAGGACTCATTTGAGATTCATCCATTGGGTAAATCCCTCCTTCCACCCAGATGCATTTCTTCTGCTGTATGTAATGTTCCAAAGGGTTATGAAGTAGGGTTTCTCCTTCCAAATGTATGTTTCCAATACCTAGAAATAAACTTTGCTTTTATGCCACAGGACATAAGGGTCCCAAGGCAGATTTGGAGGTAGCTCTAAGACAGCAATGCCTTGTGACAGCCTTGTTCACCTCTTGTAAAATGGTTAAACCCCTAACCTTTGCAGCAAGTAATCCTGCTGCCACCTTAGCTGGTGACCTTGGGTAAATCCCTTTACTTTTCCGAAGGTAAGTTTCCTCAGCTGTAAAACATGAATGAGAGTATCCTGTAATAGTCCATGCTATGCAGAGTGAGGAAGTGAGGAAGCAAGAGATGAGAGAAATTGTCCACAATCACCCAGTGAGTACATGGTAGATATGGGAGATCAAAAAGGGCAGACAAGCTCCAGAGCCTGCACTTTTAACCACACCTATGGTACAGGTGGGAGACAGAAGCACACAGAAAGGATGCAGTTGACATTTCCCAGGGGATTGAGGAAAGGGATACACAAGACACTCATTTTGAAAACCATTCATTGTATCTTCTCTCCAAAGCTGCAGGACTCTTGCTTGTCTAGCATGACGAAGCATGTGGAGGAAGGGACACTCCCTTACCCGATATTTGCAGCCATTGATGATGACCTTCACCGTGACCATAAGGAAAAAGCCCAGAGTAAGCACACATTTGGAGGGATGGGGTGGCAGGAAGGAACTGAAAGGCGTTGAATGAAATGTGAGTCTGTTGCCCTGACCTTCCCTGTGGTGACCCCAGTAGGCCAGAAAGGTCCTAGAAGGTTGCTCAGCCCATGGAAGAAGAAAAGGACACCCCAGAAGTCATGGAGTGGCACAGACTTTCTTTATGTGAATCAGGGAAGTTGTAATAAAGGATTTTTCAGAGACTGAGAGAGAGCGGGGGAGCAGTGTCTCTCACTTCTTACTCATCATCTTCCTCCAAGGTTCTAAATACAACTCAAATGCTGGTGGCTTTCCAGACGTCCCGTTAAAAAGAAAATTGTACTGGCAGCTTTGTTATAACATCTTTTTCTTTTTAAATTGGTGTATGCTAATTATACAGAATAATGAGTTCAACTGTGAAATTTTTATACGTGCACACAACGTACTTGGGCCGTATCTTCCAGACCATTCACTGTCCCCCCTTCTTTTTTAGTAGTCTTCCTTCTGCTTTCCTGTTTTGACATCCCAGTTTGCCTTTGGATTCCCAGTCTCTCTCCTGAGATTAAGACATCCTGACCCATTTTCCTAAGCATGAAATGCATTTGATTGTTCAACAAATATGCCCTGATTTCTCACTATCTGTCAGGCATGGTCCAAGTGCTCGGACAGGTTTTGGTATTTCAAGGCTCAGAAGTCCCCAGAATGAATGCTTCATCTCCTTCTTTCCCATATGGACCATTATGCTATTTTTCCACGAGTTTGGATAGAGGTGAAATATTCCTTTCCATAATCCCCCCAGTCCCGGCCTCCTTTCCACTACCTCTAAGTCACCTGTCCTCATTGTAATCCATGATCTTGTAAACCAGATTCATCCTGGACTGAATATCATAGTCTCTTTGGAGAGTTCTTTGTGTGTGCATGTGCATGTACACGTGTGTGTGTGTGTGTGTGTGTGTGTGTGTGTGTGAGAGATACTGGGGATTGAGTGCAGGATCTTTGCACTGAGTCACATCCCAGCCTTTTTTATTTTTTGAGGCAAAGTCTCCCTAAGTCCCCCAGCCTTGGCTTGAACTTGCAGTCCTTCTGCCTTGATCTTGCAGAGCCCTGGGATTACAGGCCTGTGCCATCATGCCTAGTTTGGAGGATTCTTGTAATTAGTTCCTCACTGAGCTTCCCGTCTCAAGCTGTCACCTCTTTCCTTGGCTCTCTGGTGGGAGTTTCCAGATCAAAAACACGATCATGCGATTTTCTTCCTTTAACTATTTCTGCACCCACAGATAGCTTTCTGTGCTGCTGTGTGCCTGAACTCCACTGCACTCCCACTCCCTGTGGAGTTGCACCTACAGTGAGATGGAGGAGAAAGATGGGACAAGGACTCAAATTTGGAGGAATATGGGAAACAGAATGTTTCGGAAGTTATGTACTGCTCGTAGCTGAATAATGATTCTCAAAGATCTGGGCTGAGATCTCCAAGTTGTTTCTGAGAACGCACAGTCTGTCTCTAGTATTTATGTCTTGGTGGTCACTCCTCATTCCACAGCTTCTCCTCTTCTCCCTGAGGACCTGCTGCTTTGCAGGCTGTGTGCTGCAGTCTCACCCTTTCCTTCGTGCCTCCTCAGATCCCTGGTTTGAGTTCACACCACACCATGCTGGCTACCCTGCACTCGGGGCCTACATCCCCATCGCCCACTTTGGAAGTAAATTCATGGAGGGAAGACTGGTCAGACCTGAGCCTGAGCGAGACTTGTCCTTCCTGAAAGGTAGTATGGGGTCAGACTGATGGGATTCAGTGGAGTGGGACATGGGGATGCATGAGTGCCCCTCCAGAGGGTCTGGCTCCACCCATCACCTGCATTTCTGGGCTTCCTTTGGAGATGTGTTCTTCCTTCCTAGCCTGAGCTTCGTTCGGGCCTCCTTAATATGACAGATGCCTCATATCGATTCAGATATGGATATGACTTACACACACACACACACATACACACACACAAGCACTCAGGCCAGAACCCAGCAGGGGTAGGAACTCAAGGATAGATGGATAACCAGCTATTCAGCAAATAATTTTGAGATGCACTATGAGTCCCATGTGGCAGTGCCCAGACAAAAATAACGGGAAGACCCTTGTCTTCCTACTTCATTCTCCTCCACTGGAAATGGCCTCTCCATCGACATAGTCGCCAAAGCCAGGTCCTTTGAGGTTCACCTCTGATCTTTCCTTTTCCCTCACATGCCACTTTTACTGCAGCTCTAACTCCTCTTTGTCCCATTTCCACAGTCCGTCCATATTCTTCCATATCCACCACCAACACTGAGCTGCTGTTACTTGTCACCAGGCTTGTTAGTTCCTCAGCTTGCTCCCCAGATTCTGATTTCTTTTTTTTTTTTTTTTGTACTGGGAATTTGAACTCAGGATCTCATGCTCGCCAGGCAGGCACTGTGCCAATGAGCTATATCCCCAGCTCTCCCTACTTTTTTTTGAGACTAGGTCTGGCTATATTGCCCAGGCTGGTCTCAAACTCTTGTGTGCTCAATGATCCTCCCCACCTCAGCTTCCTAAATTGCTGGAACTAGAGGAGTGAATCATCATACCCAGGTCAAGATCTTTCTTCTTCTTTATCCGCCCCTGCCCCAACTACCAGAGGTTGAACCGAGGGCTTTTGCATTGAGCTACATCCCAAGCCCTTTTTAAATTTTGAGGCAGGGTGTCTCACTAAATTGTTAAATTGTGTAGGCTGCGCTCAAATTTGTAATCCTCCTGCTTCAGCCTCCCAGAGTGCTGGAGTTACAGGTATGTACCACCACTCCTGGCGCCCAAGTTTCTACTTTCTGTCTCCAGAAAGTATCAAATATAAGTGGAATCATACAGGATATGTCTTTTTGTGGTTGGTTTATTTCAATTAGCATCATATTTCAAGGTTCATCTGTATAATAGCATAGCACAGAATTTTCTTCCTTTTTAAGACTAAATAATTGTCCTTTATATGTGTGTGTTGTTTTTTTTTGGTACCGAGGATTGAACTCAGGACCTTGCGCTTGCGAGGCAGGCGCCGGAACCACTGAGCTAAATCCCCGGCCCTAATTGTCCTTTATATGTATAGACCACTTTTTATTTATTCATTTTTTTGTGGATGAACACTTGAGTTGCTGCCACCTTTTAGTTATTGTGGACAATCTTGCCATGAATATGAGCATATAAATGTCTGAGACCCTGCTTTCACTTCTTTTGGGTCCACTTGGAAGTAGAATTATTGGATCATGTAGAGATTATGTTTAATTTTATCCAAGACCACCATATTACTTTCCATAGTGGCTGCATCATTTTATAGTCTCACCAACAGTGTACAAAGGTTCCGATTCCTCCATATCCTTACCAACACTTAATGTGTCCTAGTTTTAGTTTTTTTTAATCATAACATCCTAATGTCTACGTGTGTCTTTGACAACTTGTTCATTATGTCTCCCTGTATCAAATACAAATGTGTTTGGCTGAGGTCAGTGACCTGGGGAAATGTGGGTTTAATTGTCTTATGAAAACAAAACAAAACAAAAACCACAGGCAAACAGCTGATAATACTGAGTTAGCTGTGCCACATTCAGGATAAGGACACAGTGTATCCTGGATTGCTGCTCCTTCATCCTGGGCATATTAATGTTCATCTCTGTGCTAACCTCCACTCCGTTATAGCACGGCTGCAGCACCAGATCAGTGTGCTCCTTTTAAGAAGGACAGCAGCACTTTCCAAAAATCCCCACTGTGTTCTGCCAGAGCTTGACTTCGTCTAGCTGCAAGGGAGGCTGGGAGACACTGGGACAAGTACTGATAAGCACTGGGCTTGAGATGACCTCATCCACAATGGTGAGCTGGCTCCCTCCATGGAAGAGAACACTCATGAGGACAGGAACCTTGTCTGGCTTGTTCACTGCTGCCTTCCAGAAGAGTGCTAGGTGCCCCATGATTGCTTCATGAACATCTAATGAACTGAAGAAGGCTCTTCCTTTCCAGTGCACATACAAATAGCACCTTTTGCAAGCCACTCAGTGCGTTGTGTAACCAACCATATCAACTACATGATAGACTTTTAGTTTTATTTCTGTTTTCTCTGCAGGATTATGGGGAAGTGCTCTGGCTAGCCTTGAAGAAATTAAAAATTTCATTTTGGGTGAGTATTTGGAGAACAGAAGGGCCAAAGCCTACAGATATTTTGTGCCAGGACATTTACCATATTTTTGCTATGCAGGGCAGAAGAGAGATCTGTATGTCATTGTTTAGCAATTGCATTTCCTAAATTTGTTATCATCTCTTAATCCTTTATTGAGGCACCCAGTATAACTACAGAGTGGCTAGGAGTGCAGGCCCCTTGGGAGGAATGTTGTTCTGGTACATGTGTGTTTTGAGACCTCTGGAAAGTTACTTCAACTCTCTGTGCCTCAGTTTCTGCATCTGTAACATGGGGTAATAACTGTAGTAGTTATGGGAATTCAGTGAGATAATTCCTCTAAAGCCTATAGATAAAAGCACTAGGAAGTAGAAGTCATTATCTGCCCTATCCCATAATCTTTGTAATAGCTCTGAAAAGTAGATGCTATGATCACCTGCATTTTGCCTTAAAAATACTCACCTCCAGAGCTAGTGGCTGTATTATACTCATTAACATTGTCCTGGCCTATGCATTCTTTTTTTTTGTATTAAATTCTTTTGTTGGTACATTTTAGGTGTACAACACAATTACATTTCACATTGGGAATTGTACCTTTACATAATGCATCTTGATTCTTATTTTTTCCCCATTCCTCGCCCTCCCTTCACGCCCTCCACCCTTCCCTATTTACAAAGACTTTATTTCCATTTTTTCCATTTCTCATCATTTTACCTTTCCCTTCTTTCCTTTCCCCTGCCCCTTCCACTACCCCTACCCCTTTGGACCTTTTCTTCCTATTTTACATTATCGATTATTCATTCTAATCATTGGTACATTTAGTGGATGCACATTGAGGCGATACTCTTAAGTGAAATAAATAGGACACACATGTGTAAATACCAAATAGTTTCTCTGGTGTGAGAAACTGAAAGTGTAAATAAGGACTAAATGTATAATAGGTAATGTGAAATAGGAAGAAAAGGGGCAAAGGGGAAGGAAGTGGGAGGGCTAGGGGAAAGGATAGAAGGGAATGGGATTAATATGAGAAAATGGAAAAATAGGAACAAAATCTTTGTAAATAGGGAGGACTGGAGGGGTTGAAGGGAGGGCTGGGCAAGGGTGAAAAATAAGAACCAAGAGACACTATGTAAAGGTACAATTCCCAATGAGAAATGTAATTGTGCTGTATACCTAAAATGGCCTATGCTTTCTTGCAGATCAGTTATTGAGCCTGAAAGAAAAATTGAATATGACACATTTACACCTGAAAGGTAAACATCCCATATTGCTGGGAGTCGCTCCTGATGACATGGACTGGGCACTTGCTTAGGCTGGCCCTGGCCTCAGAATGTCACATGTGATGAGCATTTGTGCTCAGCATCACCCAAGGAAGTACTATGATTGCCTCTGCTGCTCAGGTGGGAATGGCTGTGAACATGTCCCCCAGAGGCCATGGGTCCCCAGTCCAGCAGTATTGGGAGCGAGGCCTAACAGGGTGATTAGGTCCCCGTGCTCTGTGCCCATGGGTGGTTTATGTCATTGATATCACAGAGGTAGGCTACTTATTGCAAAAGTGGGTTTATTATAAAAGTGAGTCCAACCCCTTCTTGCTTCCTTGCTCTCACCCTCTCCTGCCCGTCTCCTTTTTGTTTTCCACCATGGGATGATGCAGCAGAAAGCTCTTGCAAGATGCCAGCACCTTGATGTTGCACTGGCCAACCTCTGAACTATGAGAAATACATGTCTTTTCTTTATAAATTACCTAGCCTGTTATAACAGCTCAAATAGACTAAGGAAGAAATCAAAAGGCACATAGGTTCAGTGGTGTGTCCAAGGCCCTACAGCCAGGAGGCGCAGACTGCATCCCTAGCACCCATGTGCAGAGTCACCCATGTACCCTAGGTACGTCTGGAATCCGAATGACATCAGAGGTAGAAAGTGGGTGCAGCTCAAAAGAATTAGGAAATCTAGAAGAAAAGTATTTCTCAGGACTGTGTGGACTGGGAGTTCAAAAAAGCATTGAAGAAAGGCTTTGCTGCACAAAACAAGAAGCCCCAGAGTGCTTTTTTTTATACAGGGTCTCGCTGTACAGTTCAGGCTGGCTTTGAACTCACTATGTAGCTCAGGCTGGCCTTGAACTTGTGGCAATCCTCATGGCTCCGCCTCCTGAATGCTGGGATTACAGGCATGTGCCACCATGCCTGGCCCCCAGAGTGCTTTGACTTAAGATGCAACGAATGTATGCTTGGCTCATGAAAAAAGTAATATGGATTGGGTGACCATCCTGAGCCACTCTGTCCCACGTGGGGACTCGGGGATTGAGCTGCATATGTCTCATTACTTCTTATTGACACAAGGTCTCTGTGTTTGTTCTGTAAGAGAGCTGGAGGGTCATGAAGGGCTTCTGTGGCCAGTCCTGGAGGTAGCATGTATCACTTCTAGTCACTTCCTGTTGTCCAGGATCAGTCAGATGGACCCCACTATTCCAAGGGGGAATTTGCCAAATGTCACCCTGTGTGCATAGGAAGAAGCAATGGTGAGCACAGAGCAGGGTTGTCTCCTCACAGGCCAGCAGTCAGGGCCTGTCTCAGACAATAAGCCTGCTACAATGAAGGCCCATAGTGTGGCTGACTTATAAACAACAGAACTTTATATTTCAGTTCTGGAGGCTTGAAGTCTAAGAACTGGGTTCGGGGAGAGGCAGGTTCTGGGCAGAACCCTCTGCCAACATCTTGTATCCTCACGAGCCAGGACAATAGGAGAGCTCTCTGGAGTTCCCTTCTAAGGACACTCACCCCTTTATGTGAACTCCAACCTCACGACATTAGTGCCAGCCAGAGCCTCCACCTCTTAGCAGTCCACTGGAGGTTAGGATTTCGGGACATGGACTTTGGGGGACACAAGCACTCCTCACCTTCCTTTTTTGCCCTCCCCTCCCACAGGCTGCTCTGGACACCTGCGCTTCTTCATCTTCACTCACACCTCAGTGCCTGTGCCATCTGTCTGAAACTCCTTTTCCCTCAGAAACCTCCATCTCACTGTCACCCTTCATTCATGCAGAACAATTTTTTTGCATGGTCAGAAATATATATCACAATATCGATCATGTTAACTATTCAGAAATATCCAATTCACTGGCATTAAATATATTCACAATGCCATGAATCCCTCACCATTATCTATACTCCAGACATTTTCATCACCCCCAAACTTAAGCTTGCTATTCATTAAAGAATAACTGTCCTTCTCCCTATCTCCAATCCCTCACCTGTGCCTCTCTTCTGCTTTCTGTCTCTGAGAATTTGCCTCTTCTAAGTGCCTCTTATGCAACAGACTATATGCTTACATCTCCCCAAAATTCATATGCTGAAATCTGAATTCTCTAGGCAGAATTCCCTAGGCAGTGACACTGAGAGTTGGGATCTCTGGAAGCTGATTAGGCCACGAGAGTGATGCCTCGTGATAGGAGTAGAGCCCTGATACAGGAGGCCCAGAGAGCTAGCTGGCCCCTCTGCCATGGGAGGGCACTGCAAGCTGGTACCATATGAACTACAGAGTAGACCCTCCACAGGCATCAGATGTGCAAGCACATTGACTTGGACGTCCCAGCCTCCAGAGCTGTGAGAAATAAGTTTCCTAAAGCAGCCCAAATGGAACAGGACATCCTAGACATGGAATCATACAATACTGGTCCTTCTGTGTCTTACTGATTTCACTAAGTGTAATGTCTTCGGAGTCTGTCCATGCTGTAGCACGTGTGGAAATGTCATTCCTTCTGGTGGCGGAGTGGTGTTCCATGGTGGGGCTGTGCCACAATTTGATTCTCCATTCATCTCGTGATGGACACTTGGATTGTTTGTACATCATTTTGGTGATGGTGCCTAGTGCTGAGGACAGGATCTGAGATATGTTGATCCAGAGAGAGAGAGAGAGAGAGAGAGAGAGAGAGAGACTTCTACTGGAAACTGTTGCTGACCCTGGGTTGGTGGAGAAGCCCCTCAGATCTCATGGTGGCTCAGCCTGGGGATGGGGCAGGATGAGGGGTTGCGCACCTTTTCAGGGTGGTCTCCTCAGAAGCAAACTGGAAAGGAGTGAAGGGGAAGAAGTGAGGCCGCAGCCTGGTCCAGAGGGGGCCCTGGGACATAAGTCTGGCCCTCAGACTGCCTCACTTGGAGCAAGGGAGTTGGGCTTCCAAGCCCTAATCACAAGCTAAGGTATGCCTGGGAGGGATGTCACTCTTGGCCATTCCCCATACATTGAAGCTACTCCATGAATTGCAGGTGAGAGATTTTACCATGAAAGCACAGAAGTTGCTGGTTGGATAGACAGCACTGGTAAGAGGATTACAAGAGAATTTGGGGGGTGGCAGTGATGATATCCACATACTTTCATGGGTATTTTTTATCTCTGAGCAGGGACCATTGTAGAAGAGCTGCTGGACTTGGCGATGACTTACATAAAAGATCCAAATGCCCCCGGCATCCTGGAGAAGCTCCAGGTCCTACAGCAAAAACTGGAGGCTGGAAGGAGAGGTCTGTGCACAAGAAGCTGCCCACAAACTGCTATGTGGATGTCAGAGAGGGCAGGGGGATTAGGAGAGCAGAGGGGCAAGCAAGCGGACAGGCTGGAAACTTGCTACTGCCATCATTCTAGAAGGAGGGACCCTAGACTGTGGTGATGCTGGTGAGCATCTCGCTGTTGTGCCAGGCTGTGTCCCATGGGCCAGCTGGGTCTTCACAACAGCCCTGTGAAGTAGGCAATCATGGTATCCATAATTTTAAAGTGATGAAGCTGAGAGAGAGATTGAATGACACGTCCAAGATGACACAGGGTATGAACAGCAGTGCTGGCAGTCAGACCCAAGCACTCCGGCTCCAGTGTATATAACAACTCTCCAATAATGGCTAAAAGCCAAAAGTCTGTAATTGGTAAAAGCCAGCGAAATCTTCCTTTGCTAAGTAATCCATATTTGCTTTAGGACATGGCATGAGCCGAACATATGAAGGGCAGGATTAGAGCCCTGGATTGGTGGTTGCTGTAGGATAAACATAAAAGAGAAAGCAGTGGGGAAGAGTATGGGGTTGCATCCCAGCCCCACCCCTTGCTAGCTGTGTGACCTTGGGCAGGTGATGTAGCCTCTCTGCCCCTTCATGTATCTGTTCTGCATGATGGAGATGATTCTACATTTCTCCTAGTGCAGTGAAGGCTGAAGGATAGAATTCATGGAATGTGCTTAAAGGTGGGCCTGGCATGTGCTAAGTGCTCAATAAATGTGCACAGAATTAATATCTGTGTGAGAAAGGGAGGGCTGAACATCAGTTCAGTTAGTGGGTGTGGATTAGTGAGTATAGATAAGAGTGGAGGTGAAGGGGGCTTAGAACCAAACCCTGAATCCTAGCATTGAAAGGAAGAGTAGAGGCAGAAGCAGGGACAAAGGAGAGGGAAAATAAGAGGTGGAAGAGTAGGAGAAAAGAAGGCAACGTTGAGGTCACCAGCAGGTAAGAGAAGAGAGGCCACCCAGAGAAGCCACCAGCAGTGGTAAGAGGAGCTGTTGGGCATCACAGGAGAAGACCAAGTGTGATGGTCCTTGGCATGTACAATGTGTGGACCCAGTCTGAACGGCAACCGCCTGGGTCTCTAGGGGACGATGAAGTCAGCGAGACTGCACTCAGATGGCTGGCTGAGATGGCCCAGGATTGGAACAACGTCTCCCCAGAAGATCAGGGGAAGTTCCTGGAACAGCTGGTACAATGCTTCATGAAACTAGAAGAGCATTCAGGCCTGAGTTCATACCCCAGGCTTTTTTTCAAAGACGTGATGTCCGGTAAGTACCAAATCCATCAGCCTGCTCTGTCTTCTCACTTGTCCACCTCTCTAGGCTGTCCTGCAGCAGGAGGCTGGGTGACCAGATATCCCATGCTCCATTTCTCCACCACGAATGTCTTGATTTGTTAGCACAGCACAGGCCCAGGGGTTACAGAGACCCCTTGCCTGCCCTGACAGTCTTATAGTCTAGCGGGAGAGATGGAGGATAGACAAGTAAGCCAACTACAAACAAGGCTATCCCTGATGGGGCTAAATTCCATGGAGAAAGGAGAGGAGTACAGGTTCCTGGTAGGAAATTCTGAGTGACGTGGTATGAATGAGCCACAGCAGAGACAAAGCTGCTCACTGAGCCCTGAAATGACCCAGAAGCAGCCTGATCCACTCCACACCACAAACCCCTGGGTCTCCCCCCACAAGCCGCTGAAGGTTCTCTTCTTCGAGGACTCACCCAGCATCCAGGCAGATACACATTGCCCTTCTATCAGCAAATCTTCAACTCACCAAGAAAAGGAAGGAAATTTCACCTTTCTTTAGCTTTTCTTTTGTTGTCTTCCTCTTTTTCCATCATAACAAAAATTCTTATTTTATCTTTTTTGAATGAAATCAATCTGCTGGTTTCCCTGGTCTACACAGTTTCAATAGTAAGGTTGCCAATATCTTGATGCCTTTGGGTAGTGCTTGGCCAGGTTCCCATTAGGTGGGGTTAAAGAAGAAGGTGTACTTAAGAAGCTGATGACTGGGGGGCGCCTGAAGAATGACAGTGAGCTCACCCAAGTGAAGACCTAGAAAAGCCAACTTTGACTCCTGGCTCTATCTTAGAGATGAAATATGCCAGTTTACCCTCCTTGGGTGGTCCATGGAAAGAAATGGTGGTTACCACCATTGTACTATGCTTTTTTGTTTGCTTTTTTTTTTCTGGTACCAGGGATTGAACTCGGGACCCTGTGCTTGCAAGGCAGGCTTCGGAACCACTGAGCTAAATCCCCGGCCCTGCTTGCTTGTTTTTTTGAGCCAGAGTCTTGCTATGTACTTCAGGCTGCTCTTATAGGCACTATGTAGCCCAGGCAGGCCTTGAACTTGTGGCGATCCTCCTGTCCCAGCCTCCCAAGGGCTGAGATTACAGGCGTGCACCACCGCACCTGGCCTCCTATAATGCTTTTCCATAATGAATTCAGTTTGTTCTCAAAGAGGAGCACATATCTTTAATGTACCATGTTATAAAATGATGTGCATAGTTTTACTTTTGTGATTAAGCATTGTGTATTTAAGTTAGATCAAACCATTACCTTGTATGCAACATTTTTTCATCTGTCTTGCTTCTGGATTCACTACTCTGAAGCTGTTTTGGTGACTTCAACTTCTTCCATCTCCTTATTTCTTTTTAAAGGAAAGAATGTTTATTAAGTATTCCGAGTCAAGCCTGGGAAACAAGGAAGGATGCCACTCTCTTCTTGCAGGAAGAATCTGGCTTTCTGTGCATGTGCTGCTGCCAACTTCTGTCCTTGGCTCTGTCCACTTACATTAACCATGGGTGTCTTCATTAGGCCAGGAAGGGACATTAGGCCAGCCTGAAATTTAAAGTGAGGTGACATTCAATATTGAAGAGTCATGCAAAGACGTACAGGGGTGTATGGACTGCTAAAATACTGTAGCAGAGAATAAGTTTTAATAGGTATTAATATTATAGATGCGTTGTATAGGGTGCAGGAAAGGGGACGTTATCAGGACCTCTGCTGTGGTCCTGGCCTGTGGGCCACCACAGCGCAAGGAGAATTCAAGAACAGACAGAAACGAGACTTAGGGTGGAGAAGCTGAGTCTTGGGTCCTGGTCAGTGCTGCTGATGGCAGCAAAGACAAAGGCCCCCCAAAGCATCCAGTCTTTATTGAATACAATCATGAGAAGGAATAGGGAGTAGGGTATGCTTTGAAGGCATCTAGCAAAATACTGCTGAACACCTGGCATGATGGCACTGGGTAGGGCTGTCAGGGAGTTGGCACTGCTTATCTTGCTAGGATAGAAGAAACTGGTACTGGGACTGGGTGCAATTAGCAAGCAACCCACAAGGTCAGTGAGAAGCGATAATTCAGGGGAAAGGATTTTAACTGGGGTCATGCTGAACTCAGCTGCACGTAATTCAGCAGAGCCCTGCCACTTCACAGACCAGGACCTAGGCCCCAGTGACAGCCATTAGCACAGGAGCAATGCTAACCTCACTGTGCCAGCTGACATGCCCGATGGGTCACGTGGGGCTTCGGTCTGACTCCTGATATAAAACAGTATAGCCAAATTAGGGAAGGCAAGAAGCATGTGCCACTCACAGCCCACTAGTACTGGGCATGGATGTCTCCTACAGCATTGGTCAAGGTTCTTCAGAGAAACAGAACCGTGTGAATGTATCTATATCTATACAATCAGCCCTCTGCATATGTAGGTTCTGCACTTTCAGATTCAACCAACTGTGGATCAAAGCCATTTAAGCACATGTGTCTGTATTAAACATATACAGACATTTTCTTGTTACATTTCCTAAGTAATACAGTACAACAACTACTTAATTGTGTTAGGTATTGAAGGGCATCAAAAGATGATTTAAAGTATATGAAGGATGAGCATGCATATGAAGCAAACACTATGCTATTTTATGTAAGGGACTTGAGCACCATTTGAGTTTTGGGAGTTGGGGTCCTGGAACTAATCCCCCATGACTGTATAGCTATATCTGTTTATGTGTATCTCTCTATATACCTATATATGTATCTGTCTATCTATCTATCTATCTATCTATCTATCTATCTATCTATCTATCTATCCATTAAGAATTTGGCTCAAGGGAATGCTGAGACTGGCAAGTTCCAGCTCCATGGGGCAGGTCAGCATCCTGGTAGGGGATTGAGGCAGCATTTCTCTTTTCTGGAACCCTCATTTTCTTGCTCTTAAGACCTTCAACTGACAGGAAGAAGCACAGGCTGGCCATTCCCGGCTCACTCTATCAATCTGCTTAGGCTGCCATTACAAAGTTCCACTGAGTGGGCAGCTCTAACCACATACATATGGGTCTGTGCTCTACAGGCTGGAGTCCAAGCCCAGTGTGCTGGCAGGGCTCACTTCTCCTGACACCTCTCACCTGGGCCAGTAGATAGACATCCTCCTTTTCACCTTCCTCCTGCACCCTTTCTTCTGTGCATACCCATCCCCGGTGTCTGATCCTCTTTAATATGGGCCTCCCCTTATGGCCTCATTTAGCTTTAACTGTCTTCCCTAAGTGGCCAAATACAGTCACATTGCAGGTCACAGCCTCAATAAAAGTTTGGGGGTCAGGGCACAGTGCATCCCATTACACTCACCTTTCCCTCTTACTTTCTCCCTCCAGAGATCCTGGACACTTTCAAAGTTCTGATTAAAACTGGAGTGTGCTGTTTCAAGTGGGAATGGGGAACCATTTACAACTTCCTGTATAAACATGGTAGGTGACAAAGTTCCTCTCCCATCTTACCAGTCCCAAGTTGGATGGGCTGAGGTAGTGGAAACAAGGAACTCGAAATGATCTCACCCTATCCCTCCTCAGAGCTGTGAAGTCGGGGTGGGCAGGCACCCATGGTTCTGAATGGAAGAACTGGCCCTCTAGCTGGTGGTTCACAGTTCAAGGCATTGTGAAAGTCAGTGTGTTTTTCTGCCTCTAAAAAAGATGCAAAAACTCTGTCCTAGGATCTGGCTTACATGGATTGTTGTTTTGTGGGTTACCCCCATTATCTAGGTAGAACTGATTTTGGTCTTCAGGTGCTCTCTCTAAGACCACTTTATAATCTCCCTAAGCTGCTGCTTTCCTGGCTGATGAATGCTCTGACCTAAGCCAGTTTCTGCATATTGGAAAGATCGCCACTCTTTTGTGACAAGACTACAGTGGACATCTTTGTGTTTGGGGTCCTATTGTTTTCGATGAAGTCAGGAAAAGGTGCATGCCCCAGGATGGTGTGTTCCAAAATGTGCCCCTCCTTGAACAGGGCTGTGAATGGCTTGCAAATTGTATCAGTCCATTTTTTGTTGCTATCACAAAATACCTGAGGTATTTTATAAAGAAGAGAGGCTTATTTAACAGAGTTTTAGAGACTTAAAGTCCACGATCAGGTAGCCCCGTCCATCCAGCTCTAGTGAAGGCCCTTTTGGCTGTGTCATAACATGGCAGAGAGAGGCAAATGCCAAGGGAAATGACCTCATGCAGAAGGGCCAAGCACATGGCTCACCTCATTTTATAAGAACTTGCTCTCTCGGAGCTGGGGATTTAGTGCAGTGGCACCCTGTCTGCCTTGCAAGCACAGGGTCCTGAGTACTGGAAAAAAAGAAAAAAGAACTTGCTCTCTTTAAAACTCCTCCATCATTCCATGAGACCAGCAGTAATCCCTTCCAAGGTGGTGCCTCCATGACTTCTCACCAGGCCCCACCTGTTAAAGGTTCTGCCATCTCAACACCACCACACTGGACGCCTTTGGGGGACTCACTCAAGCCATATCCAAACCATAGCAGAGGTGAATCCTGGCTGAACACCTGCCTTCACTCACTTCTCTTCAGGTGCTTTGTGCAGGGCAGGCTCTACAGCTGAGATTGTGCACAACTCTGTTCATATATCCACATTCTGGCCTTAGAATGTTAAACTTGGAATAAACTTAGAATGTTTAACTTTGTTAAACTCTGCAGGTGACATCGAAGAAAAGGAAATGAGCAACCGGGAACTCCTCCACCTGGTGGATGCTGGTTTTGCCATCAACTCTCCATACCCTCTTGTTCTGCTCCCTGCACGGAATGTCCAGCTCATCCTCTCCTTTGACTTTAGTGCTGGGGATCCTTTCGAGGTAACTGAGCAGGGCCTTGGTGGGGTTCCTGGGTGGAGGTGGAGCTGTGTGGGGAGGAGTTAAGGAGGGAAGGGGGTGGTGGGAGGTGTGGCTGGAGGTTAGTAAAGCAAATCTACTGGTACTTCACACCTGAAGCACTCATGGTCTGGCAACATCCAAGGAGGCTCTGATCTGCTAAGTGCAGTTCAAAACTTCCTGGACTCCTCTTCCTCACAGGTGGTTCTGCCACCAGCTGGGCACTGCCTTTCCACCACAGCAGGGTGGGCTGTGACAGGTTAGCTCCTCACCTATGGGCCTCTTGTTCCCTGTGCCCATCTCTAAGGGTGAAGCTGCTTCTTCCTACTCTTCTTGGCCTCCTGAGGTCATAGAGAAAACATGAGGTCATTTGTAACTAGCACATATTGTACTGTTAGGAGGCAGTAGTGGTTTTTTCTCAATAACTCTCATCAGTTGTACCTGGCTTCACACCGTCTCTGCCACTTACCAGTGGTTTGTTTTACTTCTGTGCACTTCAGTTTCCTCAAGTGTAAAATGCTATTCATAATAGCTCCCCTGAGAGTGGTTATGCAGATTCAATTAATACTTGTTAATACTTATGAAGTGCTTAGCACAATGCCTGCTACTAGCATGGGTTTATAAATATTGTCTTTAAAAATATAAAAAGGAACCCTTCTACCTTGTTAGGAATGTAAACTAGTACAATCACTATGGAAGTCAGTGTGGGGATCCATCAAAAAACTAAAAATAGAAATTCCATTTGACCCACCTATTCCCCTTCTCAGTATCTTCCCAAAAGAGTTACAGTGATACATTCACGGCTATGTTTATAGAAGCACAATTTGTAATAGCTAAATCTTGGGAGCAATCTATATGCCTATCAACAGATGAATGGAAGAAAATGTTGTATTCACACATAACAGAGTATTACTCTGCCATAAAGAAAGAGTCAGTTATAGAAAAATGAGTACACCTTGAGACTATAATGCGAAGTGATGTAAATCAGACACACAAGCTTAAATATCACATGGTTTCTCTTATATGAGAAACTGAAAATATAAATAAAGAGCAAAATAAAAGACAGATAATAGGAAGTACAGAAATAGGTCTTTCTCAAGTGGGAGGAGTATCAAGGGCTGGAAGAAGAAAGGGAAAGAAGATGAAAAAGGAATTAAAATGTGTCATGTACATGTGCCAAGTCCACACGAGGGATGTAAGTGTTACATACTGCAAACAGGCACTGATAACATGAAAAACTAAAAAAGGACATAATATAAAATTATCTATTTCATGATCCATACCAAGATATAATAGTGAATACATGAAATAATCATGACAAAACATACCATCTCTTAGATTTGTGTGCCGTGTAATGAACATTTATATTCACACATGTAACAGTGGGCATTTCTACGATGTGGGTCAGACATCCACTCTTATCTCCACTGCCCCTGGTCAGAATCCACATGTCCCCCTTTCTGTGTCTTTGGCCCTGGAATATTCAGGCTTTCTGAGCCTAGGATTTCTGCTGTACTAAAGATCTCCAGACAATATGATCAAAGTGGAAAGAGCAGGGTCTTTTGAGGGTCACTCTAGTGAATTTTTGCTGTGGAAATCTGAGCAATAGTCTCAGCATCTGAGCCTCAGTTTTCTCACCCTCAATGGGTATAATATAATCGGTAAAATAGTCTCTGCCTCATCAGAATTCACTGATGCTCTTCACAGTGTCTGATCCATAGCTGGCGTTGAGTAAGAATAATGGTGCTTAGGAGGGTAATGATAAAAACCACAAAAGCAGTGATAACAAACATAATAGCATTTGTTAAACTTTGAATCAGAGAATCCTACATACAGCTGTGTTATCTGATACATACATGGGGCACATGTGACATTTAGCACTTATACCCAGTCCACAACAGACGTGCTGTGAGTTTGAACACTTTAGATTTTAAAAATTGAATGTAGGAAATTAATATAAAAGATGTCAAAAAAAAGACCTTGCCATTTTTTTATTGGTTACTCATACTGTTGACATTTTGAGTTAACTAACGTTATTTAAAAATGGCTTTTCCCATTTCTTTTTGCTTCCTGCTATAGTTTGGATCTTGAATGTTACTCGGAGGTCTGTGTTAGACACTTGGTCCCCAGTGTGGTGCTACTGGGAGGCAGTGGAACCTTTGAGAGGCCTAGTGGGAGGTTCTCAGGCCCTGGGCAGGTGCCCTTGAAGAGGGCTATGGGACCCTGGCCTCTTCCTCTTTCTCTTTTTGCCCTTTGGGTCATGATGTAAGCAGTTTTGCTTTGCCATATACTCCTGCCATAAGTTGCCTTACTACAGGCCCAAGGGAATGGAGCCAACTGATTATGGACTGGAACCTCCAAACTGTGAGCCAAAATAAACTTTTCCTCTTTTCAACTACTGGGGATTGAACCCAAGGTCTTCACATCCCCAGCCCTTTTAATTTTGTTTTGTTTTTGTTTTATTTTTTTTAAATAGGGTCTCAATGAGTTGTTAAGTTGCCCAGGCTTGGCTTGAACTTGCAGTCCTGCCTCAGCTTTTCAGAGTGCTGGTATTACAAGTGTACATCACCATTCCCAACTAACTTTTCCCCTTTATAAATTGATTATCTCAGGTATTGTGTTGTAGTAACAGCAAACTGACACACTTATTTCAAAAGAAACCGGATCATTTGAAGATACCTATGTGGCTGATATTCAAACCCTTGTTTGAGCACCCTTTTCCTCACCTTCTTAGTTTCCCAGCCCCCAGTCCTTAGGGTTACTCTCAAGCTTGTAGACATCATGGAAATTATTCCCCAGGTGGGGTAGGAACTGGGGGACCTTTCATGTATAGAAGGCTGCACCCATGTCTAAGCCAACACCTATTATACTATGTGTCTGGGCTCTTTGCTGAGGTTCTGGTGGGTCTTTAGGCCCCAGGAACCTTCTGGACAGACCTTCAGATAAGTTTCTTTTGTCTCCTTCTTAGACCATCAGGTCCACTGCTAAGTACTGCCATGACCACAAGATCCCCTTTCCCCTGTTGGAAGAGGCAAAGTTGAAGGAGTGGTCAGCAGCCCCCAAAAGCTGCTACATCCTGAAAGGGGAAAAAGGACCTGTTGTGATGCATTTTCCCCTGTTCAACATAGACACTTGTGGAGGTAAGTTCATGAGGAGAAGTAGGATGAAGAGTCACCAAGACACAACAGACAGGGCTGATCTACAGCTAAGGGACATCTGGTCTACCCTTCAACACCTGAAGGTCAAGAGTACGTGAGGAGGAACCTTTGTCATGTCCACTCTGTGGCCTCCTGGAGATTTCTGTGCTTTCTGACTCAGTCTTAGATGTTGCCTCATCTCAGCGAAGCATTCTTGTCCTCACTGACTATCCAACCCTTTCTGCCTCCATCCTCTGGTCACAGGTGAACAGACACTTAAAAGGCCCAGCATCCAGGATTTTGGTCCTGTAGGGCTTGACCATACCACTTCCCACTTTGGACTCTCAAAGTCTCTTGTCTTTTCTTCTATGCCTCCCGAATGAGTCCTATTGGGAGTTCAAATGTGTTCATCTTTTTCCTTCATTTAACAAACATTCATTGGTCACTTATATTGGCTCAACCATTATTTCAGGTGATACAGGATAATGTAGAAAAAAGAGATTCTCTCCTCATATGGAACGTAGGGAGCATAGATAATAAAACATATAGATAAGGGTTTTTTTACTTAAATTCTTTTATTGGTACATTTTAGGTATACAACACATTTACCTTTCTCACTGGGAGCTTGTACCTTTACATGATGCATCTTGGTTCTTACTTTTTCCCCATTCCTAGCCCACCCTTCCCTGTTTACAAAGACTTTATTTCCATTTTTTCCATTTCTCAGCATTTTTCCTTTCCCTTCTTTACTTTCCCCTGCCCCTCCCACTACCCCTACCCCTTTGGACCTTTTCTTCCTATTTTGCATTATCGATTATTCATTCTAATCATTGGTACATTTTAGGTATACAATATAATGACTTTCATCATTGGAAATTTGGACCTTTAACATATAGATAAGTTTATAATGTAATTTGCCAATAAATCTTTACTTATATTCATAGGTAATGTAGGTAAATGGATGCACCTTGAGACCTTACTGTTAAGTGAAATAAATCAGACATACAAGCTTACATATTGCATGGTTTCTCTTCTGTGAGAAACCCAAAATATAAATAAAGAGCAAAATAGATAATAGAAGGTAGGGCGATCATTGTCAAATGGGAAAGGGAAGAAGAGAAAGAGGGAGGGAGGGAAAGGAAAGGGGATAAAAAAAGAATTGGAAAAAATAGAGATAGAGCTTTTGCAAATGGGGAGGGGACTGAGAGATGGAAGGAGCAGGGAAGGAGGGGAGAGGTAGGGGACAAAAACAGAATTAAGATGTGCTATATACACACACCAACAATAAATGTACAAGAAATGTACTGCAGACATGTATTAATTAAAATAAAAATTAAATTTAAATTAGAAATCCCAAGTAGTGGGCTACCTGGATTTTGTCCACAGTAATAGTTTGCAAACCTCTGGCATAAATGGACAAAATCAGTAGAACTGATCACCTAAACTTGTGGTACATTCTCTTTGTTTATTTGATTCTACTTCAGCTGACATTCAGAAATTGAGTGAGACATATGACACCTTCAAAATGGCTGACAGCTACACGCTAGACCTGGTGACTCAGCTCCTGAGGCTGTCCAAGGAGAATGTCAGCAAAAACAAGGAGACGATCCTTAGCCAGATACGGAGCATGGCCAGGTGCGTGTGAAGCCAGAGCTGTAGGAATTAACCAAGAGAAACACAGTTTCTTCTCTTTTCAGCTTTCATCTCCATAGGGAAGAAAGATAGCGAGCAATCAAGGAGTGAACAATACTCTGGAGAAGTACAGGGCCAGGTGGGCTAATTTGCTAAGGATGTGGTAATAAAGTCCCACAGACAAAGAAACATGAAACACAGGAACGTGTTGTGTTCCAGTGTTGGAGGCTACAAATTCCAGCCATGGTGTGGGCAGGGATGGTTTCTTCTGAGGGCCATGAGGGAAGGGTCTGGTTCTGACCTCTCTCCTTGACTTTCCAGAGCCATCTTGCCCCTGTGTCTTTTTATATTGTTCTCCTTGCATGCACAGGCAAAATGTCCTGTTTTTAAAAAAATAAGAATACAGTCAGATAGGGTTAGGGCCTACCCTAATTACCTCCCTGTTACTACATTGCCTCTCTAAACACCCTGTTTCCAAATAAGATCATGCTCTGAGTACTAGGGGTTAGGACTTCACCACAGGAACTTGGCAGACAGAACTGAACCCAGAATACAGGGTTAGCAGAGAAAGCCAGGTCAGACCATCTGAGACCAGGTATCCAGGGCAGGTGTCCCGAGGGGGTCACATCACAGCAGGCTCTGAGTGAAGTGAAGGAGCAACCCTGACACTCTCTGCCTGAGACAGAGTGGGTCCCCAGGGGGCTCAGTGTTAGAGTCTGGGGTGGGGGTGTGCCTGGAGGAGAGGCAGAGGCCATGACAAAGACGCATCAGTTGCTGCTGTGACAAATTGTCACCGACTTAGATGCTTAAAAAACCCCACAGGTTTATTGTTGTACAGTTCTGGAAGTGAGAGCTCAGAAATGAGTCTTACGAGGCTAGAACCGAAGTGTCAAAGAAAGTCACATTCAGAGGTTCTGGATGTTAGGACTTCAGTGCATAAATTCGGGTGCCTGTGGAGGAGATGAAATGCAGCTCCTAATAGGAACTCAATCTTATCTCTTGGGTAAAAGCAGTCATAGGCTCCAAGAAGAGCAGAGAAATGAGTGACCAGATTCGGCCACCAAATGCCACCCCAAGCCATGAACTCGTCCTGCACCTGAACCCTGTGACACTTAATACCTCCATGAACATCACTTGCTTCATTAGCGAAGACACCCAACCCACCCAGCTCTCTCACACCACTGGCTGACTCCTCTTCAGCCTCAGGTCGATCTTCAGTCCTGCAGAGGAACCTGTCTCCAATCCTCAAACTGAGAGGTTCCCTGCCACATGCTCCACTATCCCTTGCCCTTCCTACTCCCCACATTCCCTCCCTGCTGAGCCCACAAGTGGTTTATACTTATTTTTTGACTCTTTCGCTTCATATGGAGGTGTGCAGAAGTGGGGGTCAGGCACTACATCCCTTTGCTCACTGTGGTGTTCATTCATTAATTCCCTAGTCATTCATTAGAAGCTTACTGTATACTTGCCTGCCAGGCACCACCCCAGAAGCTACAGGCGCAGCAGCAAACAAGTCAGGCAAGGCTCTTGCTGCCCTGGGATTTATATCTTCTGGGGTGGAGCCATGACATTGACAGGTAAACGAGTGAATGGAGAGCATAGGTGTGGAGAGTGATCAGTGCCTTATATAAAGACCAAAAAGCACAGTATGTACCAGGAAGCGAAAAAGGGCTCTGCAGGAAAGAGAGTGGTGGTCTTAGAAGGCATCCTGAAGAAGCACCCTTTTCCCTGGGACTGGATGCTGAGAAGGGGTAGCCATGAGGACGTCTTGGGAAACAGACTTCCATGCAAAGGGAAAGCAAGTGCAAATGCCCTGGTGTAGAAATGGCTTTGCTTGATTCATGGATTAATGGATCAGGAAGAAGGCTCTCATTGCTGGATCAGGGTTAACTGGGTGGAATTGTGTGACAAAACATGATTGGAAAGACATACAAAGATCATGTGATTTCTGGCAAGGAATCATGACATTTAATACAGGCTGAAGAGCTAACACTAGCCTAATTCTAGACATAAGTGCTCAGAATTTATAGGATTGGATAGACCAGTGAGCACTTACACAGTAATCGTAGACTATAGGAATGCCACAAGTGGGTGGGAGATCTTTCATCAAATCCAGGTTTGTCAGTGAACAAGTCTCTCTTTCTCGCTCTCTCTGCAGCAGCCCCTAGGTTTCCTAACCATGTCCAATGTTCAACATTGTCTGCAAAGAACAATGGCAACTGCTAACTCTCCTTTAACACAGCTGCAGTGCTGGAGTGGTCAGGCCCAAGTGGCCCCACCCCACCGGCTTCCCCCATAGTCCACCATCAGCTGCTCCTCTGTGAAGACAAGCACCAACTTGCAGTGTACCCTGGGCCTGCTGGTCTACCAGGGTCCTGGCATCCACCTGGCTCTGCTGTTCTCTGCTTCCTTCAGTTATGTCTCCACAGCATCAAGTTTGCCTTGACCATTCTCTCTGGGCCAATTTTCAGTGACTGCCTGGAACGTGTCTTTAACAGCATCATGCAACAAAAGGAGCCCCAGGAACTGAAGGTGGTGAAATGAGTCCTACAAACTTGTCAGGAGACCCTGGAGCTAGAGTATGACTCTCTGACCACCAGAGTTACCACGGCTCATGTCCAACCATCAATGAATGTTGTGATCAAGACCAAATCCACTTAGTCTTTCTTTTATTTAGCTCTGCAGAGGTAGGAACCTGGGCCTAAATCATGATCTATCTCTTTAGAGCCAAGGGAGCTCTGAGTATACAAATGTTCAATAAATGCTTGCTGATTGACTAATAGACTGACTACATGTGTCTCTTGGTCTGCCATCACCTCACTGCCCCTTTTTGCAACCCCCTTTATTCCTTCATTTCCTGCCGTTCTCCTGCATCTTGCCTTCTGCCTTTTCCTGTCTCTACTCCTAAGTGTCTTCTCTCCTGTCATTCTCAGGTAGACACCTTCCTTGGCTCCTTTGTTCCTTATCTGCTCCATTGATCCCATCTGTTGCTCCTCTTCTTTCCATCCCACATGTCTGTATCTCCATCGTTAAATGTGAGGGCTCCACCACTGGGCTGAAATCCTGCTTCTGCTACCTTATCACCCTAAGGGCATAGGCAAGTTTCTTTGCCTTTTGCCTGGGTTCCATTGTCTGTAGAACAGATAGCTCTGTGATGTTTATATCTTGGAGAGGTTTATATGAGTTAACTTTGAAGACCTTAGAATGGCATCTGGTGCAGATTGAGTGTTCAAGAGACATCAGCCATTCGTTTTTAAATTAAATTTTATTTTCATTGGTCCATGTTCGCAGTACATAATGATTGCATTCCTTGTGGGTAGCCATTATTTTTAATACAATGTCTTTCCAACATTTGACTGTTAAAGAGTTGAATTGTGTCTTCCAAAAAGATGTTGCTGTCATAACCTCCCTCCTTGCACACAGATACCTCCTTGGTTACCTCACGTTCCAACATTCCACACCAAGCTGCCAGCACCTGGATTTATCCCCACCTTCTCAGGACCCTGTATTACCCTGTTTACCTTTGCTACAGCAAAATACTCGAAGCTATGTACTGAATAAAGAAAAGAAGTTTATGTTGCTCAAGCTTTTGTAGGTTCAAGGGCATGACATTGGCATTTGCTCCTCTGGTGAGGGCTTCTTGTCTTTATTACATGGTGGATGGCATCGTGGTGGGAGAACATGCAGGAGGAAGAGGTGATGTGGAGAGACAGGAAGTGAGAGTGTGAAGAGGGGCCAGGCTATAACACTTCACTTATAACATCCTTGGAGACTAACCAGGGGTCCCATGAAAAGCGTGTTGATTCCTCCCTAGGACAGTGCCTTGATGACCTCCCATTAGGCCCCACATCGTAAAGGTTCCACCAACCCTACCACACTGAGCACCAAGCTCCCTACTCATCAGCCCTTGCAGAACACACTCAGACCATACCTGAACCGTAGCACCCTCCGGGCCATGCTGTGGGGACTTCCCCTACCCCCACTTCCTGTGGGAACTCTGTCTCTCCACATCACCGCCTTGGAGACACCACCACATGATGTCTCACCCTCTCCCATTCCTCACCTTGCTCTTCCCACTGCATTAGGGAGGACAGAAGGGAGGAGCAGAGGAAGAGCAAATTTGCTTTCCTCTCTGTGGATGCCCACTTCTTGAAGCCCTGGCATCAGGCGATTCTTGTGGCCCACTCACTGGTGCACACTACAGATTTAGTTGCAAATCTCTCTTTCTCTTTGAGAGAAGATGCCATATCCTCTCCATCCTCATTGCCCAGAGGCCAGGCTGAGAGTGGGTACTCAGAATATGTGCCAGAATACTGAATCAATGGATGCTCTGTCCTCTAATCCCCATCTCAAAATGGGCTTCCTATGTATTACTCGGGAAAACACTTTCCAATTCCATCCTGGGGAAAAAAGGTCTCAGAGCATGAGAATGGCTCTGCCTGGCTGTCTCACTCCAGCCAGATGGGGAGGCGGGAAAAGCTCCGATTCCCCCTCAGCCTGAATAGTGATTTCTCATCCGGCTGTCACACAGCTCTAAGACAGAGGAGCTGAGGGAAAGACCTGGAGAGGCAGGAAGAGTTGCTAAGGATTGAGACGATCAGGAGGCTGACTGACAAGGTGGAGTGGGAAGGAGGGGCTATCTTGAGAGCAGAGTGCGGTGAACTCTACCTGCCCCTCCATGCAGTTTCCTATGGGCCCACCCTGCATCTTCTTGAGGAAAGGCATCGCTGAGAAACAGCGGGTAAAGTGGAGTGTTGGGTGAGGGAGGTAGGCAGGGCAAGGGCAGCCAGGACACAGTGAAAAGGATGGGACTTGATGGTGCCCCGGAAAAGCGGGGCATGTGGACAGCAGGAGCCAAGAAGGTAGAAGAATTCAGGGAACATGGAGTCATAAGGCCAGTGAGATAGTTGGTTGAGGGTAAAATCAGAAGTCAGTAGCAAAGATAGGAGGAGAAGCAGAGAGATCTGGAGTGGCGTTGTGTGTGAGATCATTGTTCTTTTCTGTGTCCACAAGATATTGGAGCTGCTGGTGGTGATGATGATGGTGGTGATAATGTTAACTATCTGCCACTCATGAAGTTCTTGGTATGTGCTCAACTTTGTGCAAAAGGCTTACATTCTGGATGTCATTGAATCCTAAGAATGCACTCATGAGGTTGGTGATACTTTCATTCCTATTTTACAGGTAAGGAAACTGAGACTTGGAGTCATGAAGTCTTTTGACTTAATCTCACGCAATTAGTAAGTGGCAAGATCAGGTCTGTTTGATGCCTATGGGCATACTTTTAGTTCCTAGACTTTAAGACCACCAAAAACGTAAAGAGGACGGAAGGGAAGAGAAAGAAAGGGAAGGGAGAGAAAAGGGGTTGGATGAAAGGAACATAAGAAAAACAATATGGGGGAAAGCTCCAAGGATAAAGGAAGCAAGCGGAGTAAAGAAAGGCAGGGTTAGTAGCATTCCCCAGGGGCCATGCCAGGTGCCCAAGCCTGACCATTCAAGTCTGTGCAGGAGTGGTCAGGGCAACGGCTAGACATTCTGAGGCTTTAGGAACCCATCATGCTGATGCTGAGTACCCTGCCTCAACTCCACTGAACTCTGATTCCATATAAAGGGATTCTAATACCTGGAAGGAAAGACAGAACAAAGGGAAAAAAGTCAATGGGTTGTAGTGGAAAGAATTTGAACCTGCAAGTCAAGGGCCCTGAATTCAAATTCAATGCTGAGCCTGACTTGCTATATGTTCTTAAGGGAGTAATTTAATCTCTCTCCTCCTTGGAAGGGCATCTTTTGCCTTTTTATGATATGTGTGACCTTCAGTCTTTTCCCTAACCTCTCTATTCTTCAGCTTCCTCATGGATGAGATGGGAATGATATTTGGACATATCTAACAGAGCAGTTCTGAGGTTTAGTCAAGAGGGGACAGCCTGGCACAGCGTCAGCCCCCGAACATGATATCTGTGATAGGAAGTCATGCTTTCTCCATCTGGAGGTCAGACAAGGTTGGACTCTGGTATCTAAGACCCATCTCAGCACAACATGAAGGGTGTTTGTCAGGAAGAGAAAGAAGGGGGAGGTCAGGATTCAAGGACGAGAGGAAGGAAATGAGGGGATGGGAGGAGTAAAGAGCAAATAGCTGAACAATGGGAGTCAGAAGATGGAAGAAAGCTAATGAGGACAACAGAGAATGGAAAGAAACAGAAGGAGGTGTGGAGTAACTTGGGAGAACCAGCAACACATTTGGAGAAGCAGGTGTTGGGTTCTTGACCTTCTTTCCAAATTCCCTCTGCCCTGCATTCCTTTCCAGGAGAGACCCCTGGGACAAGATGAGATTGAAGGTAACATTGCCCCAAATCCCCTCACATAGCCATCCCCCTCGCCTACCCTGCCCTCCATCCCTTGTGCATTTCGGTAAATTCCTTCATATGAAAATTTTACATCCCTTTCTCCTTCTCCTCAACAGCAATGTGGCGGAACTCCTTCTCACAGTTTAAATACTTCCCCAGGAAGGTGTGCCCAGCCCCATCTGTCTCAGAAACTAGGAGTGAGAAATGCATTTTAGAATGAGTCAAAATTGTTTTGTTTTATTTTCTTGGCAGTTTTGAGAAAGCTTTACCCAAGTACTTGAGGACTCCAGTGGTCTCATTTAGTAGTCTCAGGCATCATTCCTCTTGAAAGCACATTTTATACAGAAATGCCTGGCTTTTTAAATGTATTCTTCTTTGAGGAGTTTCTAGTCAGTGGCTCATTGATAGTTTCAAGGGATGCCACCCTTTTCCACTGATGGTTTTAAGTTCCTCCAGAGTTCTCCCATCTTAACTTTCAGAGCTCCGAGAAGCATTTCTTGAGTTTGACAAGGACCGAGATGGGTTCTTCTCTTTTAAGGATCTGGGGAGTCTCATGAGAACAATGGGTTACGTGCCAACAGAGATGGAACTGACTGAACTGGGCCAACAAGTCTGCATGAACTGTGAGACCAGGGGGTGGGAGGGATGACTGGATAGGGGGAGCTGAGGGTGGGATTGGGAAGGGGATGGAGGTTGAGAATATATTTGTGGGTAGAAAGATGGATAAGTGGGCTGGAAGTCTGGGAGAAAACAGTCCAAGCAGCATTTACCAGGATAACTTTTAGAGGCAGATCTGGGTTCAAGACTCAGTTCTATTATTTACTAATTGTGTTCATTTTGAAAAGTGGCCTTGTCCTCTACTCTTGGGTCTCAGTTTCCTCATGGGCCAAGTGAGGACACCATCACTTCTAACCTAATGGGGTTGTGAAAAGGAAGGGGTAAAATGCTCATGCAGGTAAAGGGGATCCCCCAGGAAAGTTCTTATTAACTGCAGGTTATCACCATCGCCATTAATGGCTATCAGCGGAGTGCAAGATCGGAGCTGTGTTGGATGTCAGAAACAAACTTGGAGCCAGACCCAATGCTGGTGAATAGCATCGGAAAAGGATAAATTTTTAGATGGACGGCAAAGCTGATTTTGAGATTAAAGCTGGAATAAAATTGCTATCAGGTTTACTTCTGGGCATACAACTGAGTTGACAAGGTTGCATTCAAGGTGATAATAGTGCGTTCCACTCTCTGAGTCTGCTGGTTCCACATCTGCAAATTCAACCAACTGCAAGTGGAAAATATTTAGGGGAAAGAACGGTCTGTACTAAACATGTATGGACTTTTTTTTCTTGTCATAACATTCTATAAATAAGGCAAGTAATCTAGAGATGATTTGAAGTATTTGGGAGACTCACAAATGGGTTATACGCAAATACCATGGCATTTAATGAAAGGGACTTGAACACCTGCAGATTTTGATATCCACTGAGGGGTCTTGTTATCAAGCCCCAGTTGATACCAGAAGACTGCTGGACATATCTGGAAGAGACTCAAGTACTCATTTAATTCAAAGTCCCTCTTCTGAAGATCTACAGATGAGGGACCATAGGTCTGAACCAACTAAGAAGTTTGCCAAAGGTCAAGTGGACATTAGTAACTTCTTCCGTGCACATTCTGTCCACGTGTCCAGCCTGGTTCAGATTAGAGAGACACAAGAGCTACCAGTGCCTGAGTATAGAGGGGTTATCAAAGAAAACACTTAGAAGTCAGGGAGATGGGAGGTGATCTATTTTTTGGAAATAACAAAGAACAAAGAGAGGCCACGGATGGTTGGGACATATGGAGTCCTACTAATCCCACCTCTTCTGTCCTCAGTGGGTGGCCATGTAGACTTTGAGGACTTTGTGGAGCTGATGACCCCCAAATCCCTTGCAGAAACAGCTGGGATGATTGGTGTCCAGGAGATGCGAGATGCCTTCAAGGAGGTGAGCTAAGAGTCTTGTGGTGCTGGTGGAGAACTCAGAGGTATATTATTAATCATTGCCATGGACAGAACGCACCAAAAACTTTTTTTTTGTCTAGCCATGATAGCAAGAAAAATAACATATTCTAAACACTGGCAATGGACCAGGGGGTCTCTATACATTTTATCCAATTTTACCCTCCCAGATAACATTAGGAGTAAGCAATCATTTATCCCAGTCCTACAGATAAGGAGTCTGAGGCTAATGGAGATTAAAAATCTTATCTGAGATCATTCTCCAAAATGAATGTTAGGGTCTCTGATCTTGGTATCTTTCATAGGAAAGAGAAAACCACGAATCTCAAATTCCCAGGAAATCATCCCGTGTAGGCCACTTCCTGTAGAGATGCTTAAAAGTAAGACACAGAGAGGGCAAAGGACTATCCTCTATCCTCTCATAAAATACTTTTCTCATCAAAAACTTTCAACAATGCCAGGCAAAAATAAAACATAGCATTGGAAACAAAGACTTTGGAACCAGGCAACCATAGACTCAAATCCTGGGATGTTTCCACTTACTAGTTGTATGATTTCCCAGCTTTCTATAAAGATTGACGGGTGAAAATAGAAATTTTTGTGATTGCATAAATGCTCTGTCCAAAACAGTAGCCACTGGTTACATTTGGCAATCGAGTCCTTGAAGTGTGACTGGGGTGACGAAGGAAGTAAATTGTTTTTGGATGGGACTTCTAAAGCTTTATTCTTTCTTATGGCAATCGAGGTATTTATTTTTTATTAGTACTTCTTTGCCGTATATAATGTTTACATTCCTTGTGGGGACTTGTTACATGCACAGAACACATATACTATTTCTTCTCAAAGGATTTCAACGAAGTTATTAATTTAATTCCCATTTATATTCAATTGACTCAGTATTGGAATACAATTCATTTTAATTTAAAAATGAATGTTTCAATTATTAGAAAAATTTCATTTGGAACAACTTGGATATGAGAATCTATCTTTTCAATTGTAAATTTAATGATGCAACTTTAATTCAGATCAAGTATTTGTGGTAAAAATTTAGTGTCTGAGAGGCCAGGATTTAGCTCAGTGGTTCCGCTGCCTGCCTCGCAAGCCCAATGTTCCGAGTTCTATCCCTGGTACCAAAAAGAAAAAAAAAAATTTAGTGTCTGAGTTGCCAAGTCCTGTAAGTGTAAAATACACACTGGATAAATGTTTAGTATTCTTAGTGTAGGTACATGTGTGTACTTCAGTGTGTACCTATGCTCAGTATGTTAAGGATACTAAGCACATAGTAAGAACTTAATATGCTATGTCTTATGAAATCCAGTGTGCATAAAAAGAATGTAACATAATTCCTTCATAATTTTAAAATTTATTCTATGCTGAAATAAGTTTGGATATATTAGGTCAAAAAATTGATAACTAAAAAATTAATTTATCCTAGCACTTGAGAGGCTGAGGGAGATGCATTGCCATGAGTTCGAGGCTATCCTGGACTACATAGTGAGTTCAAGGCCAGCCTGGTTTACATACAGAGAGACCCTGTCTCAAAAAAAAGTTAATTTCACATTTTTATTGATTGATTGGTGTTAAAGATTGAACCTCATGTTCAACCAGGGCCCTAACTTTTCTTATAATGTGGCTACTAGAAAACTAAAAATTACCTACGAGGCTCAGGCTGTATTCCTACCGGACAGAGCTCTGGGGAGGTCTTGTCTGGGTGAGGAAACAGTAAGCAGAAATGCTGTGAGGCAGGAAGGTGTATTTGTGGAAGGATGAGTAGCATGAGCCAGAGGGAGCACAGCGTGAAATAGATGAGGTCTCAGAATTGTAGAAGGTGGGGCAAATCATTGCAACTATGTCAGGAATTTGCTCTGAATGCACAGGAAGCTGCTGGAGGATTTTAAGCAAGGGTGTGAAAAGATTGTGTATTGCACAAATGTGAACATGAAGCTCTGATGTTTATAGACCCTTCTAAGACCATGATAGAAGCCAGAACACCATTATGGAGGCTGTTTCAACAACCGAGCCAAGAGGTGACTGTGGCTTGAGCCAGGTTAACATCGTCAGAGCCAAGGAAGGGTAGCTGGCCCCAACATGTTTTAATGATAAATTTGTTAGGTTTTCTGGTAGATTGGCTAAAGTTTTTCAGGGAAAAGGTTGGATGTGGTTTATTGATTCAATAAATATTTATCAAGTGCCCACCATGTAAAAATACTTGTCTTGCTGTGTCTGGGTTGTGTCACTTAGCGTAATGAACTCTGGGTTCACCAGTATTGTCACAGATGACAGGATTTCCTTCTCTTTTCAGGCTGAATAATATTCCATTGTATCTATAGATCCACAGAAGAAAAAATGCTACATGATTGCACTCATATGATGTTTGTAAAATAATACAATTCATAGAAGCAGAAAGTAAAAGGTTTGTTGCTAAGTACTAGGGAGAAGGGCAAGAGGATTGCTATTCAATGGTGCAGTTTTAGTTATGCAAGGTGACAAAGTTCCAGCGACCTGGTGCATATAGTGTACAATTAACAGTTTGTACAGTGCATTTAAAAACTTCAGAGAAAAGATCTCACATTCAGTGATCTTACCACAAAAAACCAAAACAGTATAAAATAAAACAAAAACAAACAAGTGAAATTAAGAGACATAAGGGAACTTTTGGAGATGATGGATACGCTTATTACTCTGATCAAACTGAGGGTTTCACAGTGTATACATAGGTTCAAACTCATTGATTTATATGCATTAAATATATGCAGCTTTTTGTATACCTCAGTAAAGCTGCCTAAAATAATTACGATATATGTACATTTTGAAAGAAACTTTTCCTCAAATTGCTGATGTTCTAGTGGACAATGAACCCAAAGCTCTCAGCTTGGTTCTTGACCCTCAGTAAGGGATCCACAAGCAAGAATTATTATTGTTGTTATCACCATTGACAGTGCTGAGTCAGACCTCTCTGTTTCTGTTCAGTTTGATGCAAACGGGGATGGGGAGATCACTCTGGGGGAGCTGCAGCAGGCCATGCAGAGGCTTCTGGGAGAGAAGCTCACAACCCAGGAGATTGCTGAGGTGGTGCAGGAGGCCGACATTAACAGAGATGGCACTGTTGACTTTGAAGGTGACTATGGGGGAATCCACTGAGGGAATCCACTTCTGACTCCCTGTGAGCTTGGAGCCAGATGGTGGATTTCAGAACTCTTCACTCCAGTCCTTTCTGACCATGTATCAGAAAGAAAAGAGCCCAGTGTATCACCTCTCAAGGCTCATGGAGCCCCTTGTCCAGAGAGCCTTGTTCATCCATGATCAGGACTCACTGCCACATTTCCCATCTCTCCTGGCTTGGCTCCCTGGGGACCTTGTGTTCTAGAAACAAAATGTCTCACCAGAAGGAGGGTGGGCTCTCTAGTAGCTGACATTCTTGGGTCAGATTCGTGGACTTGAAATTCAGGATCATCTCCTACTAAACATGTGGCTTTATCTGGCCAACTATTTTCTTTTCATGTTAGCTTTCACAGCTGCAAAATGGGGGTAACCATGACAACCTTCTCTCAAACAAAAAGAAATCATGCATAAAGGACACAATTAAAAAACAAGAGTTTATTTGTGTCTATACTTTTCCATCATTGTTTATGACACGCTTTCTGTCTGCAGAGCTATCCTTTCCCCTGGTTAAATCAGATTTACATCTGTGGAAGTCACCTCCTACCACTCATACTGGGCTCAGGATCCCTTCTCTGTGCTCCTTCACCACATCCGTGCATGTCTCTTTGGGAACACTGATCTATGACATCACAACAACTGGAAAGAATTTGTTTCCTATTTCTTTCTGAGGCTGCACCCCAATTCCCTCATCACAGCTCTTAGCACAGAGCTCAACGCATATGTGTTGAATAACTGGATAAGTGAAGAGGACTGGAGTTATATGTGGTCAGGAGCAGGGATTATTTCTGTGAAAGGCATAAATCAGGCACGTTGAGCTCTAGGTGTGACACTCCTTGGTCCAGAACTCAATGTCTAGCGGCTGCCTGTAAGCAAACATCCCAAAGTCTTAGTCAGCTATTCAAGTGCATGGATCATTCCTCTCCAACCACCCATCCAGCCATATCATCTACAGCCATACTTTAAATTGTTATGCTTTGGTGCAAGCATGAAATTAGCACTGTGCTCCTAAATTTCTGTTTCTTTGCAACTGATGTTCTGTCCCCTTGCCACAGCTTTAGTTTGGGTGCTCCCTCAAGGACACATGCCAATTGCCCTTTGCTGAGAGCTTCCCTTTCCCATAGCAGGCTGTGTGATTCCCAGGCCTGGAGCTATATGGAAGTTTCTCAGTTCCTCTCCAAGGAAGTTGTTTTGTGTTTGCCTCCAAGGCTGTATTTGCCTCCATCCCAGAAGACACTGGAGGAGTCTTCTCTAAACTGCATCTCCTCTACAAGTCCCCAAATAGAGATGTAGTAGATATTTGTTGGGAACTTGCTGGATCTAGTGAGGCTCAGGTGCACAGTGGACATTAATGAAAATCAGGAAAAGGTGGAGGTGGGGATGAGAGACAGATGTTCGGGCCACCCACAGATAAAAGGACAGGGTCACCTCATGACATGGCAGAGCCAGCAAACACATCTGACCTTGAGTCACAGTAAGTCTAGGGCTGCCGGCACTCCTTTCAGGGTTTGCCATTCATGATCCAGATTCCCTTGGGTGCATTGGTTACCCTTACCAACCTCAGTTTCCTTGTATGTAAAATGGCATCCTTCCAGGACAGTTGAAAAAATGAAATAAGGTACTAACAATTACTACTTATAGAACACTTAACCTGCCTTATGAACATTGTGTCATTTAACCATCTAAAACATCATGTGTGGAAGATGGTAATCCTATGAGTCCCACTTTATAGATGAAGAAATGGAAGCATAGAGAGGTGAAGTAATTCCTCAAAGATCCATGTCACTGCTTGGCACATAGGAAATGTTCAAAAAAATAGTGTTGGCTGCTGTAAAAGAGGCACCTCATGGAGACTTTTCTTTGCAGAGTTTGTGAAAATGATGTCTCGTCGAGGAGGTCCTAGAAGCTCCAGATACTCTCTGCCTGGGAACATGGATGAAATGCGTGTGGAGGACCGAATCTCTGTGACCCCTTGCATGACAGTGGGTGGGAGGGTGTAGTGGCCTTGCACAATACGGACTGAGGTCACACTTAAGGAAGTAGCTTTGCCGGATGGGGATGAGAGGCATCTATAAAGCTATGTAGCTTTGTATAGCTTCAGAAAGAAGAGCCTCTGTGTGAAATATCAGTGGTACTAGGGCCCAGTTGCCATTTCAAAAACACCAAAGATTAATGACATCTTTTTGCTTCATATAGTTCTAAATTCCTGCAACCTGCCAGAGTCCCTTCCCTAGATTCCCCTTTACACAAAGGTCTATCCATGCCCCCTACAGACTTTAACCTCTGTAGGAGGGAACACACCCATCCTGGGACTAGAAACTGGGATCTTGTTACTGTGGGCCCAGAGAGGGTCATTGGGAGGTGCTCCAAGGGGGGTTTTCCTGAGTTCCTGGAAGCACAGTCTGTTTTTTCTCTTGCGACCTCTCCTCTCACACACCCTCTCTTGGTGTAAGATGCTTGGGGCGACTGAATTAAATCACAAAGCTGGATTATGAAGGCTTAGGACAAACTAATCCTCCTTGGGGAATTAATCCCCCACAAAATATCATGAGAGGGAGAGGGAGAGAGAGCACTACAAATCCCCCACACAGCCAGGGGACCGCAAAGCCATTCCCGGAAGCAGCCTGCCTGCACGGTGGTCTTCCCTGGGTTGCTGTAGAAGATCTCTGTATTAGATGCAAAGTGCACTCCACCCCCAGCATCCTGACCTTGCTCTGTGCTGGGAAACGGAAAAGATCGTCCCTCCTCTCTTCCACCCCAGAGCAGCACACTTCAGCAATGCACAGTTCTAAATAAAGACTTCATTTCACATCTTCCTCCAAGTGTTTTCTCACTTTGAAGTCCATTAAGTAGATGTACAGAATGGGTTGGTTGATTCAGTAGCCTCAGTTTATACAATTAAAGAAAATGTGGAACCAGAACCAGAATAATACATTTTCTAACCTCTTACCTGTGGTTACTCTTTTTGTGCCATTCTTCATTATCCCGGGACAATTTTATTATTTATTTATTTATTTATTTATTTATTTATTTTGTATCAGGGATCAAACTCGGGACCTTGCACTTGCAAGGCAGGCTGCGGAAACACTGAACTAAATCCCCGGCCCAATAATTTTATTTTTAAGGCCCATAACTCCTATTTTCTTCCTCTCCTCTCTCTCTATGTGTCTACTGAGTTTTCAGCCTTTGGGGCTGAGGAACTGAATTTTATTTCAATTTTAAATTTTATGGTATTATTTTATTGATATAATTCTGTTGATGAAGAATATTAATGACTGAAGTTAAATCTAAGCAGTCTCATTTGGCTAGTGATTGCTATATTAGACAGCGTGACTTCATGCAGCAGGCCCAGGGTTATTTGGGGTCATGGGAAGAGCCTTGTGCTAGGTTTTGTTTTCTTGGTGGTTACATTCCAGTGTGAAGGGAGAAGAAAAATTACAATGCTGAAGAGAAGCTCAGATTGAGATGAATACTTTGAGGAAAATAAAATGAGATGTGTAGAAACAGAGAGAATTTGGGAAGGGGAGAGTGGCTTGATTAGAATGGTCAGAAAGGCAGGTCTTGAAGATGGGGTGTCTCCGGTTGGATTTTCACAGCTCCTCCTCTGTCTGAGAGTGGAGATGAGCAAGCAAGAGGTTCACCAGGGAGTCTCCTTGGGATCAGTGCTGCAAAGGGAAGGGAAGGAACTGGGTTGGGCAGAAGGAGAAGTGAACTATGTGGAAGTTTGCCAACCTCAGTTGAACCCATGGGAGCTCCAGTCACAGCTCTGCCAAGTTTTCTCACTTGGGTTGAGATGGCCGAGGACAACTACAGGAAGACAAGGTCACAGCCATCCAGCACAAGCTCAGCTACAGAGGCTAAGTGGGCATGATGTGTTCAGGAAACTGAGGTAAAAAATGAGAGGAGGGAAGGCCTGAGGCAAGGAAAGGAGATGCAGAACTAGGAGCAAGAGAACTACCTTACTAAGGAGTTTCTTTGTGTTGTTGGATGAGGATTTATTCTTGAACTAAAAAGAAAAAGAAAAAACTACCATTAAATATTTAGGGTTCTCTCTTGTATGTGTAACATTAATGTAACTTGAAAATAAGATTGATAGCAAATAGGACTGAAGAGCTAAAATCTGTTCCTGATATTTGGGTGGAGTGAGGGGCCATGGTAACAGTAGCTCAGGGTATTTTATTTAGAAGGAAGAGGGAGGAGAAAGTGTAGGAGGAAGAGGAATAAGAGGAGGAAGAGAAGAAGGAAGAGAAGGAAGAATAACAACAATGACAATAACAACAACAACATCCGTTTTCATCTGGGAAGGAGGAAAAAAGATTCTGTAATCAGAATTACAGAATTAGTAATGTCTACCATGGAAAGGGTAAAGAATAATTGAGGCGATTTTATAACAAATTCTCTACCCTCCATTTATGTGATAATTTGTAGATAATAAAATAAGTGCCCACAAATTTTTCACCCAAATTTGTGATTTCCCAGAAAGAGCTAATAGGCTGCAATCACTTCTGAGGGTCCTTGGGATGAGAATCAGATCTTCTACCATGAGAGTCAGGTACCTAGACAGCAACTCTTCCTTCCCACACATCCACAATAGCTCTTATTCAAAAAGGGAGAAAGGCAGCCCCTAGGGTTGATTTAGAACTCCTTTATTGGTGGTTATGCCACATTTTCCCTCTGTTCTTCAGTAAGGACCATGTGACTAAGTGGTATGGCATTTCAAAAAGTGAGTTTCTAAGTTTGAAAGGTGCAATGAAAAAGCCTCACTGTGGAGTCTTCCTCTGAAGGTGTCTTTCTTCTCCCTGAAAAAGGAATCAAATGCCAAAGTTCAAGATGTAAGTCTGCATTGACTCAAAATACACAGTATTTTCAATAAAAATGACTTTGTGCCGGATATGTTGACATACACCTGTAATCTCTGCTGTTTGGGAGCCCAAGGCAGGAAGATCTCAACTTTGAGACCAGCCTGGGCTACCTAGTGAGACCCTGTTTCAAAATAAAAAAGGGCTGGATATGTAACTCAGTGGTAAAGCATTTGCCTAGCATGTGTGAGGCCCAGTGTTCCACCTCTAGCATTATAGACAAAAAAGGTGAGTTTGTATTGATACGAAGACTCAATCAGAAGAGGAAGCAGCTGAACTGAGAGTAGTTAGATTGCCCCCCCCCAAGGTGGCTCATAGATGTGTCAATCAATGAATAGTAGACCTCTCAATTTCAACTTTGTGGCAATAGGTTTGGTGGGAGAGGCACCTGCAAATAGATGGTCTTGCTGTAAAGGAAAAACAGTGGAAGGAGAGGGAGGGGAAAGAGGAAGAGGAAGGGAAAACAATAACATCAGTAATAATGCGATGTGCATTTGTATCTGGACTCGGAGGGAACTAGATTCTGTAATCAATTATTGACATCTGTCATGAGCATGGAGAAGGAATAGTCGAGGAGCCTGCAATGAATTTTGGAGTCTGGGCACTAAAAATATACTTCAGCCTTGCCACAAACTGGAGACCACCAGGCCATTTTAAACGTCCACCCTGTTGAAATGGTACCCAGTGTTCTAAACCCACTTCTTTACCTTTCCTCTGTTCTGGGGAGATAATTCTTACTGCTAAACAATGACACAGGAAGAGTCACTAATTTGGTATCATCCATAAACCATGTGTATCAAAAGGGCAAATGCTGCCTGAACCACTGGAATTTTCCATCTTTGAGGGAGGCATAGTGATGGTTTGTCCACACATTGATGAACAGAGTTTCTCTTTGTTTCTAGATTCCAGAAGATACAGAGTTTTTAGGTCAGCTGCTCTACACATGAGGTCTAGGGAGAATTACTGTAGGTTGGAGAATGCTGAAGCTAGCCCGAGGGGAGAGCTAGGGGGAAAGACTGGATGAGAGGACAGATTAATTTGGTCCTGTGGAGATAGTGGATGACTTATGGGCTAAGGTTGGGAGGGACCCCAAAGGCTAAAGGAAGCCAATTAAACCTACACCTTTTCCTTGGTCAGTTACTCAATGGTGGTAATAGATTAGCAACATGATGCCAAGCCCTCTGAGGGCCAGGAAGTCCAGTTTATCCCCTTTTCTAGTCTGTCTTTTTATATCATCTTCTGTTTGAGAAATTCTGCTTTTCTAATCTTTCATACCTAAAGCCTCCCATGTCTGCAACTTGAAATGATAATTTTCGGTGTTCGAAAGAATTTTATAATCCTCCTTCTGCTCTCCTGCTTTCCAGGAAAATCCTAATTCCCTCCGGCCTTCTAATTTGGGAAGCTGCTGCAGCCTTCCCCCCACTCTATGTTATCTCTAGAAAGCAGAGCCCACCTTGCTGGGAACCTCAGTTGATCAGACATGCTGGGAGGAACAGATTTCACCTTTCCACCAGCAACACAGCCAGGTGTGCTCCTACGTCACCAGCACATCAGAGATGCACCCACTTCTGGTCTTGGCTCTCACCTCAGCATCAGCAGTCTACCCAGGTATGATCCTGGTCATAGTTGTAAGAAGTTGCACACCACATAAGGTTGTCTTTTGATCCTTTGGTGGTGCAGTTAAAATAATTCTTGTTTTTGTAGTTGAATGGGAAGTGGCAGGGAAAACCAGGAGCTGTTGAGGAAATTCCTAGGGAGAGGAAAGGGATAAGGATAAGGTTATTCCTGGGATTTTTATACTGTAGCTGGGGGTTGAGGTTCAGAGCCCACCCTAGGTTCAAAATCAGGTGCACACTGCATGTGCTGCACTATTTGGGCTTAGTCCAGAGGCTTCTGTTGGAAGGATGAGTTTTAACCCCAAACTATACATTAGGAGAATTTCATGTGCTAGTTTTCTTCTGCAAAGCCGTCTGGATTCAGGACTTGGGATAGGGTGGTGGGGATAGAATGGGGAAGAAGGGCAGAGTGAGAATCCTGGGAGGGAAGGAGAAGGAAGGAGAGGGAAGGAGAAAGAGAAGGAGAGTGTTCTGCCATCAGGATGTCCAGAGTGTGGGGTGGAGACACTCACCAAACAATTTCAGTGGCTCCTCATTTTTCATAGATTCTGAATTTGCCAATTTGCCTACTCAGTAAAATTTATTTGAAATCCTCAAATGAATACTCATGGTGCTTCTGCAGACCTTGTAGACACACACAGTAGTGAGAAATTTGACTCCCCTGATGGATATGTTCTCAGCTAAAGTCAAGCAAGGTGATACTGCCTGCTCATTTCTGGTCCCCTACTGTGAGGAAATTTCTTTTTCATGGGCCGGTGCCATACTTTTCAAATTTTCATGGTTTATGTTGGCAATTTCATTGCTTACAACAGCCCACATGGATACTGTCGAAATGTTTACTAGTGTTATTAAACATGGGAAGGCTGGGATGGGCCTTATGGAGAAAATACCATGTAAGTGTCTTTCAGGCCCCTGTGGAGGTGCTGTCAGTGTGAGTTCAGGCACGAATTACAGTATTAATGGCTGGGAATTCACTGTGAATGAATCAACTAAAGAAGATGTCTTTGAACAGAAATACATCCAAATCAAGGTCACGCCTTGATCACTGACAAACTGTGACCAGAGGCTGGTAGGAATCTAACCCTATATTTCCCCAAAGGAGTGGTGATTTAGGGTTCACAGTGACTTTATAAATTATAACTACAGTGAATGAGCATAACTCACTGCCTCTTCCAGTGTAACTGACTCTCACTTCTACGTGAGTCATCATAGAGAATTGCAAAGCTCCAGATGCATAGAAGACCCTTGAATGAGGGATGGAGACCCGGATAACCTGAAGAAATGGGGTACATCAGGAAAGGCTCATCCCTGAGCAAAATGTACCAAAACAGGGCCTGCTGACCTTTGCCCAAGCACAAAACAGTGAATGCACATTGCCAGGGTTACAGCTTTCTTTCTCCAGGCCTTCTCTGACCACCCTGCTAAATCTCAGTTTGAAATCTTTTGTTAACAAAAAAAATGATCCAAAACTTGAATAAGGTCATAACACTGTGACGTGACCTTTTAATGTCATCGTTGAGCATCATCTAACAAGCCCCTAAGAGCCATCTGATAGTCTAGCTCAGAGTCAGCATAATTTTTCTGTAGATATTTTTGGACTTGTGCACCATACAGTCTCTGTCACAGCTACAGTCATAGGGGGACAGTAGTCATGGTGCTCCATAAGCCTGGATGAGTTCCAATAAAACTTTTGATGGGCACTGGACACGAAATATTATCCTTCTTTTGATTCTCCCCAACCATGTAAATAGGTGAGCTCTTTTCTTACATTGGGGGTCGTACAAACATAAGAATTCATCCAGATTTGGCTCAGTAGTGTGAGAAAAGGTGCAAATCCCTGCCCTAGGGAAATATAACTACCTGACCTACTGTTTGCTATTGGCTAGAGACCCAGACCCTTTAGCTATTAGATGTAACTTGTAGAGGATTAACAGGTTGTAGATAATTTTTGTGCAATGGATGCAAATAATTTCTACCTGGAAGAAAAGATTCCTCAAAGGCTTGACTGCTCTTTAGATGTATGTTAGTGGATCTTGTATCTAACAGCAATCTTTTCCAGCTCAGTGTTCTTTACCTCCCTCTGAACTGGTTTTCTATGCTTCCCTCATTAATTATTTTTTAAACCTTAACATAATGTTTACTCTGTATTTGTATGAGAGGTGTTGAAGATTTTGAAATTTTTGTTCTGGCACTTTTCTCTTGGTTCTTAAGCCACAGTCATACATTGTTGGCACTATTTGTTTTTCAGATTTGTGAGCGTGGGGCTCTGTCTCCTTATTCATCATCTTACTCCCACCCCCACCCCCAGTGCCCAGCACAGTGCCTGAAACCCAGTAGGGCCACATATGGTATTTGTTGAGTAATTAAATGAAAGACTCCACCCTTGCCCACCCAGTCTCCTGCCCCAGATTACTGGTGTCTGCACAGAAGCTCCACTTTCCATCTTTATCCATGTTCTCTGTGGTTGGACACCAGAGCTTGTTGCTTTCATCCTCAAGGCATTCGGAGATCCCCTTATTTCTATACTTGGATGGGAAGATGCAGGGCTTGCTGAAAGAATTTCCCCCGTACTCTAAAAATGATCATGGAATATTGACAAGTCAAGAGGAGGAGCTGGAAAGGGCTTCCATTTAATACACACAAACTGCACTGAACTTTAGTTCGTGAAGGGCAACATCACACTGAACCCTCCAAGCAACTTTGTGGTGATATATTATTTACACTTTATGGTTAAGTGAGAACCACTACCATCAACACCCATGCAGCTTACTGTCCACATTAACAGGACCTTATCATTCCATGATCTTCGCCAAATAAACTCCACTGATCCAGAGAATTCTTGCCAGGGAAAATAAGAGTTGCAAATAGCTTTGTTGTCCATTCTAAGAGCTTTTTGAAAAATGATTTAAATAAACATTAGATATGGCTTATTTCACTTAGTTTAAGTCCTCTAGTTTTATCCATGTTGTGATAAATGATAGAATTTTCTGATTTTAAGGGATGTATAGTATTTCAGCCTTATATATATATTACTTTTTTAAAAACTCCATTCATCTGCTAATGGGCACATTGGTTATTTCCCTACCTTAGCTATTGTGAATAATGATGGGAGAATGTGGAGTGAAGCTATCTCTTCAACATGCTAACTTCATTTTCTTTAGAAATAAACTTAGAAATAGGATTGCTGGATCATGTGGTTGATCTCTTTTTGTTTCTCCGAGGAACTGCCATATTGCTTTCCCTAACGGTCACACAAATTTACATTCCCACCAGCAGTATTGAAGGGTATTCTTTTTTCCACATCTTTGTCAATCTTTGTTATACTTTACCTTTTTGATAGCAGTTAATCTAACAGGTGTGAGGTGGTTTTAATTTGACAACAATCAATTCATAAAGTAAAAAATAGACTGCTAAATTTTTCAGTAGATTATAGTTTTATAGATCATTCACTGTACAAGACTCTCTGAACTCCTCTCCTCCGTTCGCCATGGCCACCAATCCTACACCCAATTCACATCACATCCGCACCTTGAAAGACCCACCAGACCCACCAGACCCCCAGACCTCATTAATTTCCAGGCTTTGTCTTCTCTGCTTCAGTATTCCATTAATTATGTCAAAGTTGTAATCTCCCTTACTTTGGTGTTGTGGTTTGTATCTAGAGTACCCCATGCTCCAAAGGCTTGGTTGCCAGCCTGTGGTGTTCTGAGAAGGTGGTAGAAACTGTAGGAGGTGGTATCAGTTGGAGGAAATAGGTCACTGGGGGGTGCCCTTGAGGAGGTGTGATGGGACCCTGGGTCCTTCCTCTCCCTCTGCTTCCTAACTGCCGTATGGTGACCAGTTTTGCTCCACCAGGTGCTCCCTGCCACGATGTTCTGCCCTACCACAGACCCAAAATGGTGGCAAGCCACTGTGGACTGAGTCTTCTGGGAGCCAACATAAACGTTTTCTCCTTCTAAGTTCATTATCTCAGGTATTTTGTCATGGCAGCACAACATTGACTAACACATTTAGTAAACAATAAGCTTAACATAATTTCTTGTGGTGTTATCCAGAGAGCTAGAATTTGATGAAGGGTTTGGAGTCTAGAGACAGTAATGACTAGGGATTGAGAGCACAGTTCTGAAGGTGGGACTTCCTGGCCTCAAATCACAGCTCTTCCACTTAACAAATGAATCTGTATAAATAGTTTTCCTATCTGTAATTGGGAATAATGATTAGATTAATCTCACAGGGGTCATTGTGAAGGTGATATGAGTTATTTCATATGAAGTACTTAAGACTACTGTCTGACACAGCAATGATTCTTTAAATTAACAAGATTATGTGTGACCTTTAAAAAAAACTAACATGTTCAAGATCACACTGGGATATATGACAACTTCTGAGTTCTAACTCAAGTCCAAATTCAAGGCCCATTTTCAGACTAGTGGCTCTGATGGTAGCAGAGGAGAGATCACGTTTCTTGAGTACCTAGTGTGGCATCATGAGAGACCCTGCATGAGAGCGAACTCCAAGGTTTACAATAACCCTGTGAAGTCAGCCTCAGGGTCCTCATTGTACAGATAATAAAAGTGACCAAAGGAGTTAACAAATTTTCAGTGTGATGGGGGAAACCAGAGCTGAGGGGGACCTTTTGGTGCACATGTGTTTAGTGATTTATGGAAATTATAATTTGTTACCTCATCCAAATTGAAATGATGTATTACTTGCATCACAAGTCTGAGTGGCCTAGATAGCATTAAGGATAAACAAGTTTAGATTTTAATGTCAGAGTTAAGTTACAGTAAGATTTGAAACAGACAAAACTGTACAGAGCACTATTATGCTATCATAAAACTGTTACCTTATCAATCCATCAATTTGTTTTAGTATTTAAAATGGTGACAATAATGAGAGTATTAATAATGGAATTTAGGGCCCAAAGTAGAGATGGAGAAAGTTGGATGAAAAGTTAGGTTAAGTATTAATACAAGATTATGATGGGGTGTAAGGATAGGTTAGTTTAGAGTTAGGGACACAATGATAGAGGCCAAGAGCTAGATAGGATAAAATCATGGTTTGATGTGGGATTAGGACATTTTTAATGTTAATGGAAGAACATAATTAAGATTTTTATTGCAAAAGGAGTATGGCTGTGGACAAGGACCTTTCATAGAGCATGGGCTTTGGAGCTGCATGAACTTGAATTCAAATTCTAACTCCAGTATAGCCTGGCATTATGACCATGGGAAGGATTAAATTTTACTGGGACCATTTACTGAATGGAGTGAGTTGGGAAATGGACCTTCTAGAGCTGCCATGGAAAGATTCAACAGGATATTGTACGCAAAACTCTCAGATAAGAATTTAGAGCACAGAAGCCACTGAAATAAATGGTCCTTCAAAGTTGGGATTAAATGTAGAATTAAGATTAGATGTTAAAGTGCATTAAAATATAGGCTGGATCGGTCAGTGAGTGATCTGGTTGTCAATTCTAAAAGCACAAATAATAAAAAAAAATTAAGACTACATCATACGTCCAGTTGTCAGGCTGGCTTTGAGGCCTTGGGGAGCATGGTCTCAGGAAATGCCTCTTGTGCTTGTCATGGTGTGGTCTATGGGAAGAAACTTGGTCTCCAGAACTGCTTCCCTGAGTTGTACATATCCCCTCTTGATGACCACGGTTGAACACCCCCCTTCCCACCACGCAGCTCTCTGGCTCCCATGGCTCACCATTCATCTCATGATACTTCCACTGCTGCTTCTCATCAAAGCTGGACGTGACTGAGCACCACATCTTTCCTGTGAAGCTGCCGTCTGAGTTGCAGCTGTTATAGGTCCTTCCACAAAAGATGAAGGGGAAGACACATCGTGGGTAATCTGTACAGAACAGAGTTCATGAGTAACTCATTTTTTTCTAGCCATTCACAGGAGAGAGTCATTTTATCAATCAGTCAATCAACAATCAAAGTACAGGACAAATATAAAGTTTGGAAGAGACTTTTTGCACACATGTCATCAAGCATTTGATAAAGCCTACTCCGTGTCCTCTCGTCCACACAACTTCTCCAGTGGGGCTTCCCAGCTCAACCTAGGATGTTCACACCTGCCAAGCAACCCTATCTAACACACTTTACACTATCTGAAGAGAAGCAAAAGGATTAATATACTTTACATAGTGTTTTCTTACTTAAATTCTTTTATTGGTCCATTTTAGGTATGCAATACATTTACATTTATCAGTGGGTGCTGGTACCTGTACATGATGTATCATGTTTCTTATTTTTTTCCCCATTACCTGTGTGCCCTTCACCCCCTCCACCCTTCCCTATTTACATAGACTTCGCTTCCATTTTTTTCTTTTCTCATAATTTTTCCTTTCCCTTCTTTCCTTTCCCCTTCCCCTCCCACTTCCCCTACCCCTTTGCACCTTTTCTTCCTATTTCAAATTATCAATTATTCATTTTAGTCAATTTAATCCTTATTTACACCTTCAGTTTCTCATACTAGAGAAACTATTAGGTATTTACACGTGTGTCCTATTTATTTCACTTAAGAATATGGCCTCAATATGCATCCATTTAGCTATCAATGTGTCTAGTTTCTTGTTCTTTATGGCTGAGTAGTACTCCATTTTATAAAAAAAAAACCCACATCTTCTATACCCAGTTTCCAGTTGATGGACACTTGGGCTGTTTCCAAGCTTTAGCTATTACAAACTGTGCCTCTATAAACATGGGTGCACATATATTGCTGTGGTATGATCCTTTTAACTCTCTTGGGAAGAAAACCAATAGGGGAATAGCTGGGTCAAATGAGACCTCTAGTCCTAGTTCTTTGAGGTATCTTCATACTGATTTCCACAGTGGTTGCACCAGTCTACACTCCCACCAACAATGGAGAAGGGTTCCTTTCTCCCCACATCCCAGCCAGCATTTGTTACTGGTTGATTTCTTGATAGCAGCCACTCTTTCTGAGGTGAGGTGGAATCTCAGTATTGTTTTCATCTTCATTTCTTGAATGACCAGTGATGTTGAACATTTTTTCATACATTTTTTGGCTGCTTTTACTTCTTTGTCTAAGAAATGTCTATTCATTTCAGATGCCCATTTTTGTATTGGGTCTTTGAATTTGGGAGATCTGATTTTTTCAGTTCTTTATATATTCTAGATAGTAGACCTTTGTCTGAGTTACAGCTGCTAAAATTTTTTTCCCATATTGTAGGTTGTTTCTTAGCTCTGGTGGTGGTTACTCTTGCAGTGCAGAAGCTTTTTAATAAGATGAGATCCCAGTTGTTGATTCTTTGTGCTAGGTCCCGTGCTACTGAGGTTTTGTTCATAAAGTCTTTTCCTATGCCAATGTCTTCAAGAGTTCTCCTAACTTATCTTCCAGCAAGTTTAGTGTTTCTGTCTTAATATTTAGATCTTTAATCCACTTCGATCTTAGTTTAGTACATGGTGATAGATATGGGTCTAGTTTAAATCTTTGGCAGGTTGAAATCCAGTTTTTCCAACACCATTTATTAAATAGGCTATCTTTCCTCCAATGAAGGTGGTTGGCTCCTTTGTCAAAGATGAGGTGGCTGAGTATGTCTGGAGTTGTTTCTGCATCTTCTAATCTATTCCACTGATCTTTGGGTCTGTTTCTTTGCCAGTACCATGCTGCTTTTATCACAGTAGCTTTGTAGTATAGTTTCAAGTTGTGGATTGTGATACCCCCAGCCATGTCTCTGTTGCCTAAAATTCCTTTTGCTATTCTAGTTCTCTTCTGGTTCCAAATGAATTTTTGGATTGTTTTCTCTAGTTCTGTGAAGTATATTTTTACATAGTGTCTTGAACGTAAATCAATTATATCACCAACAGATCTATAAGGATCTAAGAATCTTGTTTGATTTATGACCAAGAGATAAAGTTAAGATCTTGATAAAACATTTTATAAAAAATATTAATGTTATTTAACAAAAGTTAGTGAAGTAAAATACTGGTACCTTCCTGCAGTTCACATGTAAAAAATAAATTTAAAATTAATTATTAATAAATTACGTAATACATTATAATGAATTCACATAAATAAATACATTAATAAGCTCCCAGGTCTATAGCATTCTGCCACTCACCTTCCATCATACAGTATTTTCACCTGCCACCATAAAATGCTGTGGTTGAACACCAAGGGAGGAAGCTGTTGATTTTGGTGCAAGAGAAGTAAACGGACCCCTTGTAGGTAAAAGGAAAGACACAGTCCTCTTTCACTTCTGATGGACAGAAGAACAAAGCAGGAAGGGTAAGTCACAATAGATGAGATGCATCCTGGTTTGGTTCTCACTTTGGTCTGTTTGGGCCCCCACCATTCATAGATGGAAACCCTAATGTGGTGACAAAAGAGTTAAAGTTTGAGCACTCACATTTCTCTGGTGACACAATCCTGCTCAGCACAAGGTCCTCAGGAGGCACTACATTAATGTTTGCTGGAAACAATGCAGGAAAAAAATGGAAAGAGAGCTTTTGAAAGTGGAGATGGGAAGGGTTGGAGGAGGGGAGGGAAAGGGGACAGAAAAAGAATTAAGATGTGCTATGTGCATGTACAAATTCCCCATGATGAATGTGATCATTGTGTACTGAAAACATGTACTAATAAAAAAATAATCACAAGAACTGTTCGTTCCTACTGATTCCCCTCCAAATTAAAGCATACAGACATCCTTACCTAAGTCTGAAAAGACTTGTGTGAGGCCTAAGAAAAAGGCAACAGTTTGCAAACCTGATGTACAACTTAAGTTTACAATATGCTTGTGAAAGGTTAACAAGGAACAAGATACCCTGAAAAATGGATTTCTTAGATATCTACATTTGCTAATTCAGTCCCTGTCCCAGGTTTTTAATCTTTTTAAAACAATTTCCAACTTCTCATCCCCAACAGTGGGATTCCTTTCTTGGAAATTCACCCGCTGTCCCTCTTGATGATATTCTCTGATCTGAACAAACTCTTGCCTTTTCTGTATTCCTTGACTGTTGGTAAAATATTTTACTGCCCACACTGCTGGCCCATACACCATCTGTCATAACACCTGACAGCTAAGGTACTGGTCGTTGGAGGGAGGCCTTTTGGAAGTGATAACATTATGGCATCTGAGCCCTCATGTTTTTTTTTTGTATCAGGGATCAAACTCGGGACCTTGTGCTTGTGAGGCAGGCACTGGAACCACTGAGCTAAATCCCCAGCCCACCTTCATGTTTGCAAATGGAGCTCTTATTTAAAAAAAAAAAAAGAAGACCTCAGCCAGTTTGCTCGGCCCTTCCAACATGTGAGGCTTTAACAAAAATGTGCTGTCTGTGAAGCGTGAAGGAGGGCCTTCATCAAATATTGAATCTGCAGTGATCTTGGATGTCACAGCTGTGAGAAATACATTTCTATTGCTCCTAAGTCATCCTATCGAAGGTATCGTGTTGGAGCAGTCCACATAGACTGGGGGAGTAATCTGATAGTTGGAAGGCTAACATAAGCTGAGCATCCAACTTCCTGATGCCATCTAAGTGCATGTCCAGTTTATATTGGTAGCAAGAGTACTGGGGAAGAGTTTCACACACAGCAAAGGCACCTAAGGCATACTCTTCCCCAGGCCTCTGTTTGTCAGAATACAGCATGGGCACCATCACAAGACACATTTGGGGAGATTACAAGATCGTGTTAGGCAATACAGAGACACACACTAATTTTGAAACATACTGGTATAAAATCCTTTTCCAATGGTCTTTTCAATACTTCCAATTGTATAGAAAACTTTGATTTAATACTGGCATTTCTCTACCATATCTCTAACACTTAATAACCTCCCTTTTTAATAAAAAAAAAGGCTCAAAGCTGTATTTGGACAACAGTATCTAGTGAAATTTAATAATGAGCTTTTTCATAGAATTTATTTTTATTAGTAATTCCTATATATGATCAGGAATAATGCTTTTTGACATTACAAAACCGACATAAATCTTTTTGAAAGAATTTATTAGAGTGAGGAAAAAGGAGAAAATTTAAAGAAAATATTGAGTAAATAATAGTGTTCGTGATGTGGAGATGTGGTAAATATAAGGAGGGTGACACTTGGATGTATACAGCTCAGGAAACATAACACTTAGTCTTTTTATATTTAGTATAAAAACAAAGAAAAGACTTTGTCTTTTACTCAGTGTATCCACAGAGCGTAATTGGAGATGTCCTATTTTTTTTTTTATTTTTTTTTGGTACCAGGGATCGAACTCAGGTCCTTGCGCTGCGAGGCAGGCGCCGGAACCACTGAGCTAAATCCCCAGCCCTGTCCTATTGTTTTTCACCACTCAATAGCACTAGAGACTAATAGTCCCTAAGATGTACCTTAATTACTATTCTAGCCCAAACTCCTCATTACATGAATTCATACCTGCACAACATAAGGAATAATCTAATGTAAATTTTTTTGAGCTGCACTGAAACAAGACTCAGCTTTCTCATCTACTAGTCTGGGATCACAGCTCTGTTCTTGACCTTATCTCCTTCATTTTCATCCTTTCTTTCCTCCCTCTAAGGCACAAGAAGGGGTCTCTGAGTAAGGAACTCTGCTAAGTGCTCTCTGAGTGAGCAATTGATGGTGAGTAGAGATGATGTTTACCATTTTGTGGTTCAAAACTAGTTCTGGGCAATCTTCTCTGTTATTTTCCTTCTCTATTTGCCAGCTGAATAGTGAGCAGTGGTTTTCAGTAGAAAAGAAGGGACAGTGATCACCTCCCAAGGCACCGTAGACATCGTTGGAGACATTTTAGGTTGTTACAGCTGGTGGTAGAAGGAGGCTGGCAGTTGTGTCTCTGGAATCTACCACTTGGCCAGGATGTTGTTCAACACTTTAGGATGCACAGAAAAACTCCCAGAGGAGAGACTCAAATGTTAATAGGAATGAAGTGGAGAAACTGAGAGAGAGGAGTGGGCAAAGAGTACTGAGGTCCCAGCAAATGGTGAAAACAGAGGAGAAGGAACTTGTTCTCTGGATCCCAACAGAAGAGGTTTTCCACTGAACAATCACATAAATCTGAATTTCTAATGAGCTGAGTCACTGACATGGTGGGGTGGTTACAACAGTTTTCTACTACTATGGGTGGACAAGATGTGCTCTTTGTCTTCAGGCTCCATAATTGTGTTGCCCTATTCTTTGTTCTGTGTAAGATTCTTACCTTGCATAATCTGACAAGGGCCACATGTGGCTGAGGGATGAACTGCATGGAGTGGAGAAGGGAGATTTCCACCTTCCAACCTCAACACTAGGTTGACTCAAGCAGGAATCCTAATGCAACACTGCATTTCTCACCTCTGGGTCTCAGAAATGTTGGGTCTTGTTTTTGTGATGTTTAAACCAGTTCAAAACTGGAAAGTGCGTAAAGAACACCTGGGGCATCGCTGTTGCTTAACTGCTATTAGCTGTCAGGATCATCGTGGTCACCATCAATTGTCATAAACATCACCATTATCACCGTTGTTGTCAATGGTTTTTCCTTCATCATCGACACTACTGAATATATGGGATACTGTGGTGAGGGGGAGGGCTAATGCCCTTGTATGTGGAATTAAGGTTATCCGTGGGAGTTGTTAGGAAAAATCAACACATAATGAATACTATTAGCCATCTGCAAAGTAATCCAACAGATGGCACAATCTTCTTAACTGGGTTACAATCTTCCATAATCCACACTGTGCTGTCCTGCCTGTTCTCACTCTGTTAACATTTCTTTGACCTTACCCCCTGCTCTCTCCTACCTTTGGTGTTTTACTCGTAACCTTTATCCTATACTGGGTGCCTTTCCTCTATTGCTGTCTCTACTCCCTGCATCAATCCTCTCCCTCATGTGTATAATAATTAGGGACAATCTCTACTTACCAATTGAAAAAGATTATTTGTTCATATATCTAAACTTCCATTTGCTGTGAGCATCCTGAATAGAAGGTGTAGATTTTATTTGTAGCTGAATTTCTGACCCATAATACAATGGACCGATGCCTGGAATTTAAAGTTATTCAATAAATGTGTACTGGCTAAATCTGCTTGTGAAATGTACAGAGGGGACTTGGGGATACCAAATTTACCTACAGTAATGTGGGTGTGGTCTTACGGATGTAGGATCAAACAAGATCATAAGTAGAAAAGATGACACCCTAATAAGTACCTTTTTTTCCTACCTGAATAAATGGTGGGTTCTTAGCCTTTTAGGTGAATGGGCTTAGCTTTTTTGAGAACCCAGAAGTTTTCTTTAAGAAACTCTTTCCATGCTCTTGTGGTTGGGAAGGCTTTGTGTTCACCAAAACCATCTTCATTTTCCTCCAGAATGCACTGCTAGACTACATGTCACAGACCTGCTTGCAGCTAAGCATCATATGTGTTCTGGACCGTGGAAGTGGGAGGAAATGATGTATGTTACTTCCTAGGCTATTCATAAAACAAAACAAGCAAACAAACATCCCAGCCCCCCCAAAAAACCCTCTTCTCCAAGATCCTGTAGATTCTCTTGACTTTTTTCTCTCAACTAAAAGGAAAGAAAACCCTGAGATTCTAGGGGTTGGTGGAGCCCCAAGATGGAAGGAGTGTAGGCCCCTGAATGACCTCACAGAGCATTTCTGGCTGACCAAGTTTTCCCTTACTGGGCTTTGTAGGAAGGTATTAGTCAGTTTTTCGTTATTATGACAAACACTTGAGATAATTTATGAAGAGTAAAGATTTGTTTTGGCTCAGGAGCTTCAGTTCCTGGTTGGTTGGCCCCATTGCCTTTTGGCCTGAGTTAAGGCAGCTTATCCTGGCAGGAGCATGCAGCAGAGCAAAACCACTCACCTCAAGGTCAGGAAGAGAGAGAAGGAGGAAAGGCCTGGGTCCCTTGGTAAGGCCATGCTCATCGTGACATGAAGACTTCTCACTAGGCCCTGGCTCTCAAGGTTGCCACCTCCCAGTAGCAACATCCACGTGCTGGGGACTAAGCTTTTAACACCTGGACCTTTGGGGTCACTTGATATCCAAAATGTAACAAGGAGCAAGAAAAAGATCTTTCTGCATGTGTGGTGATACATACACCTGAAGCATAGAGTGCCTGCTAAACTGTTCCTTCTCTTGCTTTTCAGTGCCTGGCTTTTCTGTTACATATGGAGCATCTGATGTATTTCTTTTGTCATTCTTTCTCAAAGGTTTTGCTCTTAACCACCACACTGTGCCTCCAACAATTTTATATGTTTTTCCCAGAGGGATGT